ATATACATTCAAAAGAAAGAAAGAAAGAAAAAGAAAGATGTTGTTAAGAGAATGAGAAGACAAACCACAGACAAAAATGTTTACAAAAGACATTTGATAAAAGACTGTTAGCCAAAATATAGAAGGAACACTTTAAAATTTTTTTATTTGAAAGGCAGAGTTACAGAGAGAGAGAAAGAGAAGGAAAGACAAAGACAGAGCGATCTTCCATCCGTTGGGTCACTCCCCAAATGGTCACAATGGCAGGAGCTGAGCCTGTCCAAAGTCAGGACCCAAGGAGCTTCTTCCAAGTCTCCCATCTGGGTCCAGGGACCCAAGTACTTGGATCATCAATCAATGCTTTCCCAGGCATACTAGCAGGGAGCTGGATTGGAAGTGGAGCAGCTGGGACTTGAACCAATACCCATATGGAATGCCGGCACTACGGATGATGGCTTAACCCACTATGCCACAACACCGACCCCATCACTAAAGAGTTTTTAACATATCTTTCTATATCGGGCAACAGCATATCGTTCTTTTTCTAGTTTGGTATTAACGGGATGAATGACATAGATACATTTTTCTTATATTGACCTTTTGTCTTCTCTTTCTAAGATTTATTTATTTATTTATTTGACAGAGTTACACAGAGAGGCAGAGAGAGAGAGGGAGGTCTTCCATCTGCTGGTTCACTCCCCAGTTGGCTGCAATGGCCTGAGCTGTGCAAATCTGAAGCCAGGAGCCAGGAGCTTCTTCCGGGTCTCCCACATGGGTGCAGGAGCGCAAGGACTTGGGTCATCTTCTACTGTTTTCCCAGGCCATAGCAGAGAGCGGGATTGGGAGTAGAGCAGCCGAGTCTCGAACCCTCACCCATATGGGATGCAGGCACTGCAGACAGCGGCTTAACCCCCTATGCCACAGTGCCAGCCCCCAACCTATTGTATTGTTGAAATCATTCTATACTTTTGTGGGCAGTGGAAAGGGACTTATAATTTTTTAGAAATAAACTTTACTTTTCATCATCAGTTTCAGGCTACCAGCAGAAGTTAGGATCAGGTACAGAGATTTCCCACCCCTGTGTAATGACACATCCCCACCATTATGGAATCGTACAGAGGTCTTTCATTGCCTAAAATCCCTCTGTGTTCGACCCTTTCCCATCCCTAAGCAACCATTGACACTTTGCTGTCTTCACAGTTCTGCCCTTGCAGAGTGTCATGTAGTTATAATCATACAGTCGGGAGCCTTTTCTGGTTGGCTTCTTTCACTTAGTAATATGCGTTTAGGGTTCCTCTGTATCTTTTCAAGTCTTAAGAGCTCATTTATCTTTACTGCTGAATAATATTTAATTGTCTAGAAGTACTTTACAGTCGTGTTTTACTTAATGACAGGGATATGTTCTGAGAGCTGCACCATTAGGCAATTTCATCACTGTGCTGACATCATAGAGTGTATTCATGCAAACTATGACAATTGCAGTGTCACTAGGTGATACAGATCTTGTGAGTCTGCTCCTTTACCAAACTGTTATTATGTGCGTGACTGCACCTGCTGAATGATACATGGCTTGGCTTTTTCCAGGTTTGGGCAACTATGAATAAAACTGCTGTAAACACCGTGTCCATTTATTTTGTGTGGACGTTAAGGGTATTTTTTGTTGCTAAAAAAAAAGACTTATTTGGCTTATTTGAAAGGCAGGGTGACAGAGAGAAAGGGAGAGACAGAGTAATAGAGAGAGAGAGAGAGAGAGAGAGAGAAATCCTCTATCCACCGATTCACTCCCCAAATGGCCACAACAACAACAGCCAAGCTGGGCCAGGCTGAAACCAGGAGACAAGAACTCAAACATCCATGTCTGCTGTCAGGCTGAAGCCGGGAGCCCAAACTCCAGCCTGGTCTCCCACGCAGGTGACAGCTGTTGAGCCATCATCTGCTACCTTTGCATTAACAAGGAGCTGGATCAGAAGCGGAGGACCTGGGATGAAAATAAGCACCCCAATATGGGAAGCAGCCATCCCAAGCAGAGACTTAACCTGCTGCGCCACAACACCCAACCCAACATCATCCTAATAAAGAGGTATGGGCTGATAAGAACACAAAAAGGAAATTAAAAAATTAAATCAAAGACTGGGGAGGTGGCCATTTGATGTAGCTGTTGAGACAATGCAGTGACTCCCACAACCCAAATCAGAGTGCCTGTGTTTGAGCCCTGGCTCTGCTCTGGATTCCAGTTTCCTGCTAATGTATACCCTAGTAGGCCACAAGTGATTGTTCAAGTGGTCATATCTCTTCCACCCACATAGGAGACCTGGATTGAGTTCTGAGCTCTCAACCAATAGATGGGAGCTCTCTGTATGTGTGTCTGTGTCTCTGCCTCTCAAATAAAGTTTTAAAAATTTTTTGAGGCCGGCGCCGCAGCTCATAGGCTAATCGCCAGCACACCGGATTCTAGTCCCGGTCGGGGCGCCGGATTCTGTCCCGGTTGCCCCTCTTCCAGGCCAGCTCTCTGCTGTGGCCAGGGAGTGCAGTGGAGGATGGCCCAAGTGCTTGGGCCCTGCACCCCATGGGAGACTAGGAGAAGCACCTGGCTCCTGCCTTCAGATCAACGCGGTGCGCCGGCCGCAGTGTGCCAGCCGCAGCGGCCATTGACCATTGGAGGGTGAACCAACGGCAAAGGAAGACCTTTCTCTCTGTCTCTCTCTCTCACTGTCCACTCTGCCTGTCAAATAAATAAATAAATAAATAATAAAATTTTTTGAAAGATTGGAAGAAGGGGCCAGTGTTGTGGCACAGCAGGCTAAGCCACCATCTGCAGTGCCGGCATCCCATAAGGGCACCAGTTCAAGACCCAACTGCTCTACTTCTGATCGAGCTCCCTACTAATGTGCCTGGGAAAGCAGTGGAAGATGGTCCAAGTGCTTAGTCCCCTGCACCCATGTGGGAGACCTGGATGAAGTTCCTGGCTCCTGGCTTCCACCTGCCCTACTCCTAGCTGTTGTGGTCATTTGGGGGGTGAATCAGCAGCTGGAGGATCTCTCTCTGTCTCTCCCTCTCTCACTGTAACTCTAACTTTCAAATAAATAAATAAATAACTCTTTAAAAAAATGGAAGAAGAATTTAAAGTATGCAACATAGAAACATAAAGTATGTACATACAACATTCAGTAAGGCCAGTAGACAAATTATCGGAGCTAATCAGAGAGTATAGCAGGTTTGCCACAAATATGAGTAATACACACAGATTAACAGTAGAAAAAGGAGTGGAAAATAAGATGCCATTTAAATAACAAACTGGAAGTGTTAAATGTCTAGGAATTAATGTCATGAGGAGCACAGGAAAGCTTTAAGGAGAATTTTTAACACGCTATGAAAAGATAATAAAAGGAGAGCTGAAAAATTTCCGTGAAGCAGCATAGTGATGAGTGGGACAACTTACCATTGTAACAGTATCAATTTTCCCCAAATAAAACTATAAATTATTTAATTCCAATAAAAACAGCAGCTGGAATTTGGGGAAATCTGACAAACTGATTCTAAACGCTATATGAAAGGATAAAGTTTCATGAATATCTCAGACCATTTTGAAAAGAAGAACAAAATGGAGAGGGAACCTCATGGACCAAATCGTCAGACATTACAAAGCCCAGGAGTGTGACAGGTGAAGATGCCTGCCCTGACACAGATCCAGGCTTGCATAGAATTCCATGTGCGACAGAGGTGAGGCGTCAGATGGCATGACCTTTGGAAAAATTGACTCATTGAGTGGAAAAAAATAATAATAGAGTTATTCCCTTTTAAAAAAAAATCCTTGAACTGGATAAAAAAAGAAACAAAGAATTAATTCAGAGATTAGGAGAAGGGCACTGATGCAGCTGTTGTGCAAGGTAAAACGAGAAGCCAAAAGGAGAAAATGTAGCTTGAGTATCTTCTTGACCCCAAGATGGAAAAATTTCATAAACAAGACTCAAAATGCACAAAACATGGTTAACTTTACCAACATCCAAGTGGCTATGTCTGTGTGGGAAACACATCATAAATTTATCAGCAAGTTGACAGCCTGAAGTGAGAGAGTGCTGGAGTTGGCAAGTGATCAATCTCTAGACTATAAAAGCTATTTCCACAAATCAGGGAGAAGACAAGAAATAGAAAAAAATGTCTAAAGCATATGAATAGGCAGGTCACAGACAGGGAAAGTCACAGAGCCAGTAATAAATGAAGAGAAACTCACCCTCATAGGAAATCAGAAAAGTTGGACCAAAATTAAATACCATTTTACACTATCAGATTGACAAAAATTGGAAACTCAAAAAATTCCAAGTGTTGGTGAAGAAATGAAAACCTTCATGCTTTTTTTGTTGTGCTTAGCGTATCCGTAGGCTATTTTAGAGCTCAATCTTGTAGTATTTGGTGGAATAAAATGTGAATTTACACAATAATAAAGCAGTTCTATACACACATATCCAGGAATGCTCCTGTACAAGCACAGAGGGGGAAGTACAGAGGGTCATGGTCACTGCATTCTCATTACCAGGAGAGTGGACAAGGCAAGGGTTTAGACAGAAGTCTGAAGGAATGAGCCCAACTGACAGAGCAGGAGGTTGCGTATATCCCAGAAACATGATACCGAGTGGGAAACAAGAGTAGAAGAATCATTAGTTTCGTTTCCCACTAGGTTTCATGAAAATACAGCACACCAGCACAATGCAACACTAATTTTCAGTGACACGTGTTTACCTAAATCAATGCATGGAGGGTGGAAAAGGTAGACTTGCCATTCACTGGGGTAGGCACCTGTGGAGACACAGGCATGCAAAGAGGAAGGAAGGATGACAGCCTTACATGTGGTCTTGGACAGTTGATGATGCTTGTTCTCTGCGGAGTAAGGAGAATGGACTTAAATCTGTGACCCTGAAGTCCTTAATAAGAAATTGTTCCTTCCTAAAACTTGGCTGGTGAGAGCTGTTACTTTTATGGAAATTCATCCACTCAGAGTTTTCCTCTTCTTTTCCCCAATTAAGCATTGCTGGCTCCTCGCCAGGTCTCTGCCAACCCAGAGGGCACAGACAGCATCCTGGTGAGTTGGCAGCCTCCGGAGAAAGCTGGCTCTGCCGTTCGGGAGTATGTGGTGGAATGGAGGCAGCTGCTTCTGGAGGGCGACGCGCGGCCCCGTCCGAACTGGCTGCGGCTCCCGCTGCACAGTGTGTCTGCTGTGCTGTCAGGTACCGTCCGGAGGGATTCTCAGTTCACGTTTGCTTGGGGAACTGAAGGCTGAAACCCAGAACTTTGCCTCCAGTTACAGTGACTGCATGATAAGGGGGACAGTGAGGAGCACCTCAGAGTACCCACTGCATCCAAAGAGCAACAGTGAGGTGACCGCAAAGGCAAGTGTTTGTGGAAAATACACATACCATCACAGTGCCAAATACGATGAATAATTGAACCGCACAAGTTTGGCTGAGAACTCAGGTAGCTGCTCAGTGTTGCCAGGCACTGTCAATGGGAGGAATTCATTTAACTCTCAGAACTGTCACATGCGGTAAGAGTCAGAGTGTCCATTGTACAGATGAGGGAAGCAGGTCCGCCTATTGTTTGTGTGATAATAAATGCAGAGTTATCTGGATGATAACTGGCGTCTCTTATCCTCAGGGTCCTAATCCATCAATGTTGTTTAGAAACAAGTGAGAGAAGCATCTGAAAATATGCTAAAGCAACTGGACAGGATTTAGTTCATGTCATTTTTAAGCATAAATTCAGCATAGTTGTTAAAAAATAAAATCATTTTGGCTCTGCAGCCAGACTACCTGAGATTGAGTCCTGGCTCTTTCACTAATGTCGTGTAATTCAGGGCACATTATTTATCTTCTGTGTGCCTCAGTTTCCTCTTCTGTAAAGTGGGACCATAAATTACCTGCCTCACTGGGCTATTGTGAGGACTAACTGAATCAATGTAAAGGAAAATATTTTGACCACAGGCTGACATATTTTAAGGTCTCAACAATATGATTGCTATTATTATTGTTGTTGTTGTTGTTGTTAAATGTGACAGAGCTAAGACTTTAATAGATTTTCAAGCTCCAAATCCTGTAATGCTGCCATTACATCATGGCAGTCATTACACCTGTCTAAGAGGCTGTGCACGCCCATGCTGGTCCTTAGGTGAGCACCTCTGCTATAGCTGCTCAGACTTCTAGCAGACTGCACTTGCGTCATTGCCCTTGAAGAAGCACTGCCTGGATAAGCTTGTGAGCATCTGGGGGCAGGTCATGGGTCATTGAGAGTCTAGAACTTTTCCTCTGGGCACCATTTCGCCTGTGGAAGAGAACTGTCGATGGAGGTTGGGGTGGGGTGGCTTTATGGTTGTTGCTGGATTTCATGTGCTGCTTTGGAGAACAAAATGGTCGCTGCTTGTACATTTAAATTTGTATTTAGTTATTTGAGACAGAGAGAGGGAGAGAATTAGTTCGTATCTGCTGGTTCACTCCCCAAATGCCCACAATGGCCTGGGTTTGGTCAGGCCAAAGCCAGGAGCTAAGAACCCAATCCAGGTCTCCCATTTGAGTGGCAAGGACCCAAGTACTGGAGCCATCACCCAGTGCTTCCCAGGGTGCACACTGGCACCCTGGAGTTAGGAACAGAGCTAGAACTCGAACCCAGGCACTCTGATATGGGTACAGGCATCCTAACTGGCCACTTAACCTGTAGGCCAAACACCTGCCCCCCAGGCTTGGAAATTTCAAGAAGGCCGAAATCAGCTCAATTTTGAAACAGAATCTTCCCACCTCTGATGCTGTCTAATAGGACAATCAAGGATCTCTCACAGCAGTGTGTTTTTGCAGATACTCAATTTTCTTTCAGGGTTGTTTAATGGCCATCAAATCAAGCAAAACAGTGGGAAGAAAGCATTCACTGAACTGAACTTTCAACTGTCATGCAATTGTAAACACTTATTTATAAACTCTATCAAGCTCTCCCCTGTGGGATAGTTTGTGCTATATATGGTGCCTTACAGTTCCTGTAATTCTATACAAAAACCAGGAAATAGTTGACAAGAGAGAATCTTTTCCACACTTAGTATATATCCATTTGAATAAAGTCAGTATACTAACGAGAAAAATAACTTTATTAATTAAAGTTGCTCTCCTGCTTGAAAACATTTGGGAAGCCATAGTTAATGTTAATGTTACATTCTGTAAATAAATACTTAGAAACTTTAGTCATTCATAATTAAAATGAACTGAAAGTGGCCCTCTCCGGTCAGGAAGATCATTCAGTGCCATTGGAAGCTCACCAGCTCTCTCCAGCACCTGGCCAGGCTGCTTTGGGTGTTTGGAAGTGGGCCAGAATCTAACCTTGACTCCTGGACTGTAGGTTTATGGGGCCCAAGCTGGAGACCACGAGTCCTGGCCCGTCTCCGTGAAAACGCTTGACCGTGCAGAGCCTCTCCCTTGACAAACACATAACGTCATGGTGTCTAGGAAGCGCCCCTGATGCCTAGACTAGCTGTGCCCCTCATCTGCACACTCCCACTTTATGGCCTCGAGAATTGCTCCTCATTACTGATCATGTAATGTTTGCCTTCTCCCACACTTGACAGGTGAAATTAGCCTTGTGCAGAAAAATCGTCTGAGAGAAGGCTTATAAACACGGAGACAGGGCCTTTGCCCAACGGTGCTGGGTGGATTTGTATGCACGGGAGTGGTGGGAAATGAGCCCGGAAATTGGGGCCAGACTGCAGAAAAGAGATGATTGTCTTAAGACTGTGGGCTTCATCCACTGAAGGCTTTTTGGATACTGAGCAGGCAAAGTCAGTAAAACAGGAGCCCTCAAGGTCAGAACTAGGGAGCAAGCTTGCTAGGGAGGCTCTACTCTTGGTTGAAATGGAGATGCTTGCTGGGTTACGGAGCCAGTTGGCTTCCCAGGTCCACTGAGGGTGAGCCACTCACAAGACCAAGTCTACAGTCTCCGATTCAGCAGTTCCCAAGGCCTCCTGCCCTGAGCTTACATTCTGCATAGCAAAAAGCATGGAACCATTGGCCTAGTGCGTTTACCTGGAACTCCCCAGCTTTCACATAGCGCTGGGATTGGCCACTTCTATAACTAGAGGCAGAACAAACAGACCCTGGGAGCAGAAAGCCACATACCAGACCCTCCCAAATGAAACATGATTCCATGTTCTGTGTTGCCCTTTGGGCTTCTGGGTCTGGATGATACCCATGAGGAATTTTTGGATTATAGAACTAAGTTCACTGTGTCCTTTCTCCATTTCACTGGGTTCATGAACTTGGATTGGAACACACCCATGGTGTGTGTTTTGATCTCATTCTAGTCTCTTCTCACAGCACTGGTTACATGACAGGGCTTTATGTGCTACCTATTTTCTGTAATATTTAAGGCATGATGGATTTTCATATGAGATACACACCATTTAAGTAAAATATTCTGTGGTGTAAAAATTCTTCTTCCCTCAAAAACAAAGATGTGAAATGCTAATCAACTGTCAGTGCCCGAAATCTGAGCTACCTATTAGCAGGGCATCAAACAACACTGGACAGAATCCTTACTTTGGCCAACTGATATATAGTTACCAAGGAGGGACTCACTCTCTTTCCCCTTTAAATTGTCATTTGGATTTAAAGATACATCAAGGGCAGTGTCTATGAAAGGGTCCTATGCTTCATAAGCAATAGAAATCTGATACTCATGGAAGTGAGGAGCTCGGCCTTGGAAGAGGAACTTACCAAGAAGCTTCACGACCGACAGAAAATTGCAAAGCACATTTTAAAAGCTAGAGAGGAGCATTAACATTCCTGGGTGCCTTCCAAATCTTCCAGGCTGTGAAGCAACTGAGATCTAACTGGAACATGATGGGGGAGTGGTGGGGAGGGGAGAAGGGGTCAAATTGCACCAGAGAGTGCCCTGGTCAGTCACACCCGCATGTGTGGGCCCTGTACTGCCCAGTCAGGTCCCGATAAGCATCATAGAATCAGAAAAGCCTTCCAGGTGCTATGTATGCAAAACTCCAGCCTCACTTTGTTGTAAACAGCCAACAACTTATTTGTAAAAGTCAAGTTCTTTTCTCAAGGTGAATGTTTGTGCAGATATATTTAAATACTGCTTGAAACTTGAATGACCCTGTTGGCTGATATGAAATTATATGGAAAGAAACTCAGTTTGCTGGTTTATCTCACACTTGAAAGTTGGGAGCAGTGGTTCTCCAGGGTCAATATTTAGTGAATAGGATGCTGGGAGTTTGTTCTTTTATTCTCAGTCCAGCCTGTAGTTGAACCATCTTCACTCTAAGAAAAGGCCAGAAACGGCTTGTCTGGCTTGTCTACACATATTAAAATGACTCCCGCTAGTGACTCGCCAGTGATGGCACACTTGTAAGAACGCCCTTGTCCTTACAGAGAACATCAAACCCTACGTGTGTTATGAAATCCACGTGCATGCGCTGTCAGCAGGCCAAGGAGGATGCAGCTCCATCCTGGGAAACTCCAAGCACAAAGGTGAGCTGTGGTCCCCTGCCAGACATTGCTTTGGGTTGGCGATTTGGATGTGGAGGGTGACAGAAGCCTGCTGTGTCCTATTTTCCAGCTCCGCTGAGGGGACCCCATATCAGTGACGTTACAGAAGACAAGGGAAGTGTTTGGATTTCATGGGACCACTTTCCAGCCCAGGAGCAAGTGGGCTGCATCCTCCATTACAGGATATACTGGAAGGAACAGGACTCCCATTCCCAGGCTCAGCTCTGTGGTATGTGGGGCAACCACGTGCAGTGGGGACCTTCTCTGGATGTTGGGAAAACATGCTTGTCTATACACATGTGCCAGCACTGTCCCTGGTACTTAATAAGGACTCCACAAGTAAGTACAAAGATTTCTAAAACTGAAGTCAAACAGAGGATGCTGCCGGCGCCGCGGCTCACTAGGCTAATCCTCCGCCTTGCGGCGCTGGCACACCGGGTTCTAGTCCTGGTCAGGGCGCCGGATTCTGTCCCGGTTGCCCCTCTTCCAGGCCAGCTCTCTGCTGTGGCCAGGGAGTGCAGTGGAGGATGGCCCAGGTGCGTGGGCCCTGCACCCCATGGGAGACCAGGAAAAGCACCTGGCTCCTGCTTTCGGATCAGCACGGTGCGCCGGCCGCAGCGCGCCGGCCGCGGCGGCCATTGGAGGGTGAACCAACGGCAAAGGAAGACCTTTCTCTCTGTCTCTCTCTCTCACTGTCCACTCTGCCTGTCAAAAAAAAAAAAAAAAAAAAACAGAGGATGCTGGAACACCCACACACATGCAAAATTACTGAATGTGTGTCACATGTCAAATAAATGGCTAAGAATACAGAAATGAGGGGAAGTGAGAAGGCTCTGCAGGTGCTGACAGACATGGACAGACAGCATTTCAAAAAGCAACAAAGGCACTGAGATGCCAGCTAGGTTGACCCTTGAGATACACAAGGAATGCATTTGGGAACTTTTTAAATCCCCACATTGGCAATAACCATTTATATTCTTCTTAAAATGGATAAAACACAGTATAAAGTAAATCTTTATGACCCATAATTATTCTATAACTATAAGGCTAAAGCAATTAAAATGAACTCTGACTGGAGCATTATCTCTGGTTTTATGAACCGCTCATTCATGCAGCCATTCCAAGTCTCTTGCCAGATCTGATGGTCTAATCTTTGATCTAATGAGAGTTTTTTTGTTGTTTGTTTTTTTTTTTCCCCTGGGCTTGACCTGCTTTGTATTTTGTTAGCAGCTGGCTTTCCATCAGGAGCAATTATCATAAAGGCAGAATATATTTGGAGTCTTTTTCTATATTCTGATCTATACCTAGCTTTTCTCTCTCAATAATACAGACAGGAGGTCTTACCACATCAGTCCATATGGATTTGCTGTAGCTCCATAGTAGTCCCTCATAAGGCTTTTTTTCTAAGTTATCGCTTGTTTGTCATTTGATTTTAGCCCATATGACTTTTTTCTTAAAGAGTTATTTATTTATTTGAAAGTCAGAGTTATACAGAGACAGAAGGAGAGGCAGAGAGAGAGAGAGAGAGGTTTTCCATCTGCTGGTTCACTCCCCAGTTGGCCTCATCGGCCAGAGCTGCGCTGATCCGAAGCCAGGAGCCAGGAGTTTCTTTTGGGTCTCCCATGTGAGTGCAGGGGCCCAAGGACTTGGGCTATCTTCCACTGCTTTCCCAGGCCACAGCAGAGAGCTGGATTGGAAGTGGAGCAGCTGGGACTCAAACCGGTGCCCATGTGGGATGCTGGCACTGCAGGTGGCAGCTCCACCCACTACACCACAATGCCGGTCCCCCTCATAAGGATTTACAAATATTTGTTTCACTAATCTACTGCTGATTTTTAAAGATAGATTTATTTATTTATTTATTTGAACGGCAGAGTGAGTGACACAGAGAGAGGGAGAGACAGAGAATGAGAGCGAGGCTTTTCGTCCCAGTGTGAATCCAGGAGCAAGGAACTCTCTCTGAGTCTCTCACTGTAGGTGGCAGGGACTCAAGTTCTTGAACCATCATCTGCTGCCTTCTCAGACATTACCAGGAAACTAGATTGGAAGCTGGCGTAGGCAGGACTCTAATACGAGATGCAGGCATCCCGAGCAGCTGCTTAACCTGCTACGCCACAATGCCCGCCCCTCCACCACTGGTTAAACAGAACGCCCACCAACAGAACTTCTTCTCTCTGGGCCTGGCAGGCTAAGTTGGTTCTGAAGTGAATTCCAAGAGATAGTGAATGATTTAATTGGCCTCTTCTTGTGCCATTTGGAATTATTCGTGTGAAATGTGCCCCCACAATAATTCTCATTTTGGCAGGGTTTAAACGGAAATGTCTGCTTCCCACCAGACAGACATGGTCAGCTGGATCTGGGAGGTGCTCTTGAAGATGTTGCGGAAAATGCCTACCTTAGGTTGCCACAACTCTGATGATGCTGGAGCCCATGAAAGGCTATTTGCAAACAAATTAAAAGAGAAGAGGAGTATTTTATACCAGTTTAGATTAAATTTCCATTTAATTCGGTAACCATTTATTGGTGAATACCACCTGTTCTCCATCTTCAGAAAGTTCACAGTCTACTGAGGAAGATAAAGAAAAAAAAAAACAAAAAGTACACAAAAGTGATGCGACTTCTACAATCAAGCACAGCCAAACACCTGTTACATCTGACAACCAAAAATCAGTGGTGAATCCACAAAGGCAGTTTCTCAAAAGATCTAGGAGGTGACAGGTTGAGGAGGAGGGAGGGAGACACCAGGAAAGAAAGCGTCATAACAGCAAAATAAGGATGGTGTTCGGAGGGGGAGGAAGAAGGAGCCCTTTCTGACTTGTGTTTTGGCAAAGTTGACCAGCCAGCTGTACAAAGGGCCCAGGCAGAAGTGTAGCAGGGGCACAGAACCAAGGACACTTGGCCCTGCCTGGGCAGGGGGGGTGAGATGCAGAAGTGAGGTGGGCCCAGGCATCTGCATTTCAGAAAGTTCAGTTAGTGCTCTGATGTTGTTTTTCTTCTCCAAGAAACATGGGGGTCAGTTACCTTAGGCAAATAGGCAGGCTTGTCCTCCAGGATTTTGGAGTGACCTCCCAAAAGCTGGGGGGACTGCGAGGTCAAGTTTAGCACTTTGGCAGAAGTGGATGCCTGCTCATTCAGATGACTGGCACCTGTGCAGAGGTCAGAGTGGTCTGGTGCACAACTTCTGCTCTGGAAGTATGTTGATACTGCTGTGTGTACTGATAGACCAAAGGCAGGCACGCTTCACTACTAGAGGTTAGCTACATCATGCTGTGTTACTTCCTATGTTACATGCATGTTACTTCCTGGTTCTTTACCAATAGACTCGAATCATCACAAGGTGTCTGCCCTGTACCTGGAATATAGCCAGACCCATTTACTGGTATTTAATAAAAACAGTATTTGTTGACTGCTACACGGGTGGATGCTGTCCAACCTTTTGTTTGAGCCAATGGACATCATTGGATAAAAACATATTTCCAATAACAATGCAGCTATTTTGCCCGGTTACTGGACCTTGCTACCCAGAGCCTTTCTGATGATTGGCAACTACCATGACTTCTTAAGTGGGTGCCTTTATCATTTAATCACCCTGAGTCTAAAGTTTCAGACACTGAGGTTTGAATGCCTTCCTCTCTGTGTGCCAACGACGGCAGCCTGGAGGAGGTAGGACCAGAATTTCCCGCTTGACTTCTTGACTTCTTTCTCCTGTTATGCAACTCTGCCTATTTTGCCAACCAAACTGCTGACACCATCATGATCCTCCCTGCTCCCCCCATAGAGTTGCTATTTTTGTTCCTCAAATCTACGTATGTGAATAAACCTTATTGGGCCAGCAAACCATACAAATCCCTTCCCTTCTGTCACCGCGTCTCGTCCCATTCCGAAAGCGAAGGATGCCCTCACACAGTTAAATGGTCGACTCTCTGATGCTCGCTGATGTTTTCCTGCACATGCAGCAAGATGAGCAGAAGCTCTCTCTAAAATTAATTTTGTAATCCCCTGCTGTAGGAAGAGGGAAAGGCTCTTCTGAGCTCAGTCACACAGCTTAAGTCGGGGAGGCCATGTCACCAGGCTAGCATGGGGAATTTTCCACAAGGTACTTTTCCCAACAGGATGTGAAAGAGAGAGATTCCTCTGATACTCGCTGTTGTTAAGCTATCTGCTTGGGCTTCAGCCTTCTGTGTTGAATGTAGGTGATGTCACAGGGCTCTGTCTTGCCAGCTGCCCATAGCAAGCGAGATGGGATAGCTTTTAAGGGATCTGCTTTCCTGGTAGATGGTGATCTCTTTGAGCTGGATTCTGTGCTTTGTGTTGTCAGTACCTCTATCAGCACTGGCAGGCAATCAATACTTGTGACTGCTGAAATAAAACAGCAGGTGGACACTATCTGACTTGCCCTGGGGCTTGGTGGCCAGTATGTGATACTGAGACACAGAGTGCTGAGTCCTAGTGTTCGTTTTGACTATCAGCACAGGGACCAGTCTTCTGAATGAGCAAGCAGTCCAGTTCTACAGGAGCTCTGTCCTTGACTTAGTAGTCCTCCCAGCTTTTGAGAGGTCACTCTAACGCCCTGGAGGACAAGATTGTCTGTTTACTAAAGGCAACTGACACTCAAATTTCTTGGAGGAGAAAAACAGTGCATTGCTCAAAAAACAAAATCTTCCCCGCAGAGAAGAAAACTGCAGGGGTTTAGACCATAAGGAACTGGAAATCTAGGCTCCAGGCTGCCAAAGATAAAACAATCTGAGTACCACTGCTCTTGTTTTCAATAATTTTCCATCATGGGGCTGGCGTTGTAGCACAGCGGGTAAAGCCACTGTCTGCGACATCCCATGTGGGCACCAATTCGAGTGTTAGCTGCTCCACTTCCGATCTAGCTCCCTGCTAGTGTACCAGGGAGAGCAGTGGAGGATGGCCCCAGTCCTTGGGCTCCTGCACCCATATGGGAGACCCAGATGAAGGTATTGGCTCCTGGCTCCAGACTGGCCCAGGCCTGGCCATTGCGGCCATCTGGGGAGTGAGCCAGCAGATGGAGGGTCTTTCTTCCTCTCTCCCTCTCTCTCTCTGTAACTCTGCCTTTCAAATAAATAAAAACAAATCTGAAAATAAAAATAATAATAATTTTATGTTAAAGTAAAGCAGACCCTCATTTCATTTCTTTTTTTTTTTTTTTTTTTTTTTTTTTTTTTTTTTTTTGGACAGGCAGAGTGGACAGTGAGAGAGAGAGACAGAGAGAGAAAGGTCTTCCTTTTGCCGTTGGATCACCCTCCAATGGCCGCCACTGCAGCCAGCGCACCGCGCTGATCCGATGGCAGGAGCCAGGATCCAGGTGCTTTTTTTCCTGGTCTCCCATGGGGTGCAGGGCCCAAGCACCTGGGCCATCCTCCACTGCACTCCCTGGCCATAGCAGAGAGCTGGCCTGGAAGAGGGGCAACCGGGACAGAATCCGGCACCCCGACCGGGACTAGAACCCGGTGTGCCGGCGCCGCAAGGTGGAGGATTAGCCTATTGAGCCACGGCGCCGGCTTCCTCATTTCATTTCAAACCCTGTAAGCTCAGAACCTAAAGAACCTACAAAATGAAAAGTACAAAAACCACAATATAACAGTTTAAGTACATGTCTGTTCCATTAACTGCTAAACTTAGCTTTCTTAAACACTCCATTACCTTGAAAATCATTTTTACATTTAACTCCTTCCTCAAGAATTCTGAAATATACCCGATAATACCAGAAACATTGTAGTTTTTGGAAATAAAAGGAGTTACTGCAGATAAGTCATCTTCAAAAGCAAAATGACAAATTATTCCAAAAGATTTTGTCCCAGAAAAGAACATCTAGCTTGCATGATACACTGTGGAGGAGGGTGCTCCAGGAGTGAGAGTCCAAGCCCTCACACAGCACTGAGTCCAGAGGAATTAGGGCTGCTGGAAAGTAGCAACACGTGTTTCCCTTTCAAAGTACATGAAGCGTCCAGAAAATAAAAAGGAACAAAAGCCCACATTCAGCCATTTCCTTTAATACATATTTGCTTTTCTTTCTCTTCCTTTAGAAATTCCCTATAGAGTCTCCCAGAATTCACATCCAATAAACAGCCTGAAGCCCAGAGTGACATATGTCCTATGGATGACGGCTCTGACAGCTGCTGGTGAAAGCCCCCCAGGAAGTGAGAGGGGATTTTTTCTGCAAGGTAAGGGACACTTTCAAGGTGGTGAGTCCACCCGGGACTCACTGCAGCTGCCGTGGAGATGATCGGATTTTCCGTCATTCCCTGATTGCTTTCTTGTTGCCCCCTCTTTGACCTTGCTGTTTCCTCTAACTGGAGTACTCTCCCTCTCCATTGTCTGCTCAGAGATAGTGTCTACTCTTTTTTCAAATCTTGGAAGAAATGTGTCCTCTTCCAGGAAGTCTTCCAAATGCCTCTCCATATCCCTTTGATAATTCACTACTCTGATAATCTATCAAAATTCTGCATCCAGTAGGCCAGCACTGGTACTTGTTTATCTCTAGCTTCAAGGCCTAGAATGAAGCCCAGAACATAGAACAGGTGTCCCCAGTGTCTCTGGGGGATCAGTTCCAGAATTCCCTACCTACACTTGAAATCTAGGATGCTCAGATTTTACACATCAAATGGTATAGCATTTGCATATCACCTGTACACATTCACCCATACACTTTAAATCACCTCTGGATTATCTGTATTAGCTAGGTGCATTGTAAATGTTGTGTAAATAGTTAATACTGAATTGTTTAGGAAATAATGACAAAAATCTGTATAGGTTTAGTACAGACACAATTTTTTTCCAAATATTTTTAATCCATGTTTGCTTGATTCACAGATATGAAACCCATGGAAAAGCAGGGCTGACTGTCCTTGTACACTGAATAGCTGTTCAATAAACAATAAGAATCACACTATCAATAACAATAGCAATGATTGCATATCAGGTTATTATTATGTTACATACTTTGTATCCACATGAATTTGCTGGAGGTGCCGTTACAAAGTAGCACAAATGTGATTTAACCAACAGAAATTTATTGTCTCACAGTTCTGGAGTCTAGAAGTCCAAGGTGAAGGGGTCATAAGGACTGTGAGGAAAAATCTATTTCATGCCTCTCTCCTAGCTTCTGGTACTTTGCATACAATCATTGACTATTCCTTGGCTTGCAGGTTTCTGCCTGCACCTAGCATTCTCCCTGTGTCCAAATCTTCTATTCTTTATAAGGACATCAGTAATAACAGATTAGAGGTCCGTCTTACTCCAGTATGATCTTGTCTTCAATTATACCTGCAATGATTCTATTTTCACATAAGGTCACGTTCTTGGGTCTGGCTGTTAGGACTTCAGCGTATGAGTTTTGGGGGCACACAATTCAACCCATACCACATAGTTTCACTAATTTATTCATTATGTGCTTATGCCTGGACCATACTACCAGGTACTCAGTAGGAAATGAATAAAAATGAGAGATTATTATGCCTTTTCACAAGTGAGGTAACTAAAATACAGAAAGATTACTCAGGACCATGGAGGTGGTAAGTGGCAGAACTACCATCTACCATAAGTGGCAGAACTACTATCAAAAGCAGAGTCGCTCTACTTGAAAAAAGTCAAGTTAATGAGTATATGAATAAGTGACCCAGCTAACATGAGTTTTCCTCCTCCAGCTGAGTTATTCTCTTCTCTCTGGCAATGTTCATTTGCATCTGCTCTCAGCAAAAACTCAAGCTGTGCTTGCTTTGTGACATGGAGTAGCACCTTGATCATTCCAGACTTTGTTATTTTACGCCAGGAAACTCTCTACTGGGAAAATTGACAAGTCCTCTTCTCATTTCCCCAGCAATCCCATGAAAGTTCACGTGTGAGCAATTGATGAGGATTAAGGAGTCAGCTTCTTTCCACTGGTGGGACTCCAGCCTTGTGCCATCTGCCCAGGAAGAAAGATGCTGAAGAAGTGCTAGATTCTGCCAGTCATATGTGGTGGGAGAAAGCCTGCCTGCGTTAACACACCTCTCTCGAGGTCTAGCAGGCCTCTGTCTCTCATCCTTCCTGCTCTCTCCCTCCCTCCCAGCCTATCCTTGACTCAGTCAGAAGAGTCATTCTGCAAGACTCCCAATGTTGACAGTGCACCTTGTGCTACAACTCATGAGCAGTCCTCTAAGGGCCTTTAAGCTAGAAGTCAAATTGCTTAGCTTTGAGGCCCTGCATGGTCCTGTGTGCCCATCTGGCCTTGTCCTTTGCCACACATAAGCTAGAGAAACACCAGACCACCTGTAGTTGCCTGAAAGAGCTATGTTGTTCCCTCCTTCCATGCTTTTACATTGTTCTCTGTCTGGTTCGGTCTTCCTTAACTTGCATGCTTAGCTGACTCCTGTTCATCTTCCAACTTCACACTTCTTTTCCAAAGAATTTTCTTTATTTTTTAAAAACAAATTTTGTTTACTTGATACGTAGAATTATAGAGAGGTATAGAAAAAGAGAGAGAGAACTCCATTCTCTGGTTCACTGCCCCAAAAGCCTGCAGTGTCCAGAGCTAAGCAGGGACTGAAGTCAGGAGCTGAGAATGCAATCCAGGTTTCCCACATGTGTGACAGGAACTCAATTACTTGTGCTGTCTCCTCCTGCCTCCTAGGGTCTGTGCTGGCAGAAAGCTGGAGTTAAGAACCAAAGCCTGGACTCAAACCTAGACACTTGGCAATAATAATAGATAGAATTAAAAAAGAGAGAATGTCCAACATGGGAAACAGTCCACACAGCAGACACATAGAATGACAATCGCTTTAAGTAGCACTCTGACCTCAGAATCAGCCCTTAAGGCTTCCTGGTCTGGCTGAAAGGCCTGTGAGAGCATTTCAGGCATGGAAAGCCAAGACACTGTGACAAAAATTATTCTACATGAAGGATCTCTGTGAGTGAGACCCCAATGGAAAGAAGTGGCCATCAAAGAAGGCTGTACTTTTCTCTAAAAGAAGGGGAGAACTTCTACTTTGCTTATGGCCTTGTCCAAATACTGATGGAGTTTGTGGACTCATAAGACTTCCATACCCTAGACAGCTTATTTCAAGAGCCTTGGGTGGTTACTGACGTCATACTTAAGAGTGTTAATTGTTAAATTAACAACAGGAGTCACTGTGCACTAAATCCCCATGCAGGACCTCAGTCCTCAATGAGTTGTATTGAGAGTTAACTGTAAAACAAATTCTCAAACAGTTTGTGTGTGTTTGCAAATTGTTGAAATCTTTACTTAGTATAGAGTTGGTCTTCTGTGTACAAAGTTAACTGAAAATGAATCTTAATGGAGAATGGGACTGGCAAGGAGAGAGGGTGGAGGAGGAGGGGAGGGAGGGCTGATATCGTGGGAAGAATAACTATATCCCTAAAGTTGTACTTATGAAATTTGTATTCCTTAAAAAGTAAATTTAAAAAATGGAGAAAAAAACAGGCATTTTAATTTTGGATGTGGGCATCTTAACCACTATGCTCCTTCAAACTTTGGACATGTGCCTTTTACAGAACCCTCCTCAGCTACCCATGAGGCAGTTCCCCATGCTGTTCTCTGCTGCACTGCCTAGAAATGTTGCACATGTGTCTGTTTTCACACATATCCCTGACATTGTGTTTTATTGCTCACACGCTTGCACAATAGTCTTCTACTTGTCTCTTTTTTTTTTTTTTTTTTTTTTTGACAGGCAGAGTGGACAGTGAGAGAGAGAGAAACAGAGATAAAGGTCTTCCTTTTGCCGTTGGTTCACCCTCCAATGGCCGCCGCAGCTGGCACGCTGCCGCTGGCGCATCGCGCTGATCCGGAGCCAGGAGTCAGGTGCTTCTCCTGGTCTCCCATGCGGGTGCATTGGGCCATCCTCCACTGCACTCCCTGGCCATAGCAGAGAGCTGGCCTGGAAGAGGGGCAACTGGGACAGAAGCCGGTGCCCCGACCGGGACTAGAACCCGGTGTGCCGGCGCCGCAGGTGGAGGAATAGTCTATTGAGCCGTGGCGCCGGCTACTTGTCTTGTATTGCAGCACCTAATAGAACTTGGTATGTGGTTAGTAACTCAGTGTACATGTTGAATGAATCAATAATTGCAAGAATTAGTAAGAAGCTATGGTTGTTTACATGGGAAGGAATAAGCACAGTTTTGAAGAGCATAGCTAGATCAAGAGATTATCCTATGATTTGGTAAAATCAACAGCTGGTGTTTCTTAAGGACTTCTTATGATTAGCTACTTTACCCTGTGCCTTAAATATAACATCTGCAAACTTCCTAATGATCTGAAAGTTAGATACCAACATTCCCATTTCACAGATCAAGAAACTGAGGTTCACAGAGCACATGAGTTAGTAGCAGAGCTAATGCTAGAACTCAGGTTTCCCAAATCACAGCCAGTGCTTTGTGTACCACAGCCCCTTTCCTTCTGTCCCTGAGAAGGAGGGGCCAAAACAGGGCTGCAGTTCCTTTTAGAACCACAGATGTGTCCCCTTTAGGGGTCCCCTGCCCCTAAATGAATGGACCAAGATAAGCTGGTCCTGTTCCTGAGCCAAGCCAGCCACAGCTGTGGGTAGAACCTGGAGGAACACACAACAGTCTTTTGGAATGCTCATTGAAGATAACTCAGTCACAGGATTTGCTGACTTTTCAGGCAAAGCCAACTGGAGCGTGTTTGTGGCACCAAGCATTTGCACCGCTGTCATCATAGTGGGCATTTTCTCAATGCGTCACTTCCGGCAAAAGTAAGTTGGTTACAAATGCTAGTTTGGTAAATGTATTTTTTAAACAGGATAATAGCTGTTGCTGCTATGGGTCACGGAAATTAACCCCCTCATACATCTACTGGTAGCATATTGAATTTATTAAAGTATATTAATTTATTTAAATTTATTTAATAAATAAATATTTATTAAAGTATATTAAAAATATACTTTTGGACTCAGCAATTCCTAACTAGAAATATATCCCAAGCATATCACAGATGTATGCAAATATTTGATAGAAAACATGTTTACTGAAATAATGTCCATAAAAGGACACCACGAAACAGCAACCTAAACATCCAGTGATATGGGATTGGCTCACTAAATCATGATGTATCTCATATGATAACATATGACGCATGTGTTAAAGATGACGTAGAAGAAAATGAAATTGTATCAATGATATTTGCTGCATTACATTTTTAAAAAGTTAGTGGCAAGATAATGTCTATTTCCGTTTCTTAAAAACAGTGCATACACATTCATATACAAATAGACAAGATATATCAATGTTTAAGTTGGTGGCATTAAACTGGCAAACAGTTTCTCATGTGGATAAAGGAAGTGAGCTCAGGCAAAAGGGGGTGTGGCAGCTCCTCATTCATCACTTGGCCCCTCCTCATTTTCTGCCCCATGGTGTGATATTAACTTCTGTGCTCAAGTTCATCTTCCAGTCCATTCTACCTCTGCAGGAAGAAGGAAGGAAGCTCGGGAAGTCACAGTTACATCTCATGGGGTCAGAACTTGGAGGATGTGCCATCTTTGTCTTCCGGGGCTTATATTTTACTCATTTGCCGACAAGAGTTACTCCTGCACTGCAGTCACTGCACAAAGAACCTGTGCGTCCGTGCTGCTGTGAACACACTTAACCACCTGTCATTGTCTTCCGTATAGGGTGTGTGTTCTCCTTTCAGCCCTCAGACCTCAATGGTGTCGCAAAGAAATTCCAGATCCAGCAAATAGCACGTGGGCCAAGAAGTATCCCATTGTGGAGGTAAGTTATGGAGCCTCGGTGGTCAGCTGGTGGAGGTGTAGTGAGCACCCCACCCAAGCGTCCCACTGTAGTTGCAAGGACCTGGGTGCCGGACTCCTGTGGACAAGCTGAAGTCAGTCCTGTGGAGCTGCCACTGGGTCATCACTCTGCTCTCTTCCTGGACGCAGGAGCGATCTCTGCAGAGGACTTTCTGAAGCTTTTGGCCTAAAGACTGAAAGCCCTGTAGTGTTTCAGTCCTCTGATACCTTACACCCCACCCCACCCCACCCCCCACCTCGAGTTATTTCCAAAGAAACACGAAAGCAAGTATTTTTGCCATGTGCTGAGCACTAGCCTGGGCATTGACTCATCCAAATTCAGGATAATTGAAGCTTTTGACTTTCCCAATCTTGTCTGAGCAAAGAACAGTTAAATAAAACCCACAGTATTTTGGTCTTGGCAGGAAGCCAGTGAGTCATTTCGTTGTGCGAAGGAACGGTTTTAAAGGAGAGGCTGCTCCCCTGGCAGATGAGAGCCGAGAGAGAGGCGGCGAGGGAAGGCAAGGCGCTGCGGCCGACCAGTAGGAGACCGATCAGCTCACCGGGGCACGGGGGCGCGGGGCGGCAGTGGGGGGGGGCGCTCTGCTGCTACGGGGTCTGCAAGAGGAGGACCTCACGAGGCGCAGGACTGTGCAGCAGCGGTGGGGAGCTGCGTGCCAGCGTCTGTCCCGTTTCCTGGGACCCTCGCGCCCCCAAGCTCCCTTTCTGCCACCTTGGAGCTGCTGTTCTCCTCAGTTACGCAGTGTGTTCTGCCAGCCACACACGCTTCCCCGGGGCCAGAAGTCAGTGGTCCCCGAGAAGCCTCCGCTCAGCGAAAAAGCTGCTTCCAGTCAGGCCTGCCTTAGGAATGCAAGTCGCGGCAGTTTAGTGTCTCTGGAATCACACATGGGGTCAAGCCTGCCTCTACCCCTTACTGTGTCTGTGACTCTCGGGAGCTTGCCCCTTAGTTCATCCTCAGTAAAAGAGCAGTCGACAGCCCCTCCCCTGTACGCTGCTGTGGGATTCAGTATGAAGCCATGGAAGGCACGTGGATCGCCCAAGGCAGAGAGCATTTGCTTTCTTCCCCAAAAGGCCCTGACGTTAGGTCCCCACTCTCTGTTAGGGAATTTTGTCTCCATTAAGTCGCAACAGCAAGAATGGCGATAATAAGGGCAGTATATATACAAATGATATATAACTACATGTAATACAGTATATATAACACAGCAAATCCAGATATGTCCAGTAAATAATTACATAGTGATATTCATTCACTGTTCACACACGAGGCCCTCGCTCAGTGGCAATGTCATGACTTGTAGGACCATGCGCTCTTAGCCATGAGGCCTTATAAGGGTGTCCCAGCAAGCGTCAGAAGGGATTCAAGGACCAGGCGTTGAACTGGCTGAGATGTAAGGTCTCCTTCAGTGTTGAGATTGCACAGTCCTACAAGCCTGAAATAGCACAGGGGAAGCAGCTCTGGGTCAGCTGCGGACACCTGGCTTCCAAGCTGGTGGTTTTGGTGCCATGGCTCTGTCCGCCTCTGCCCAGAGGATATGGACAGAGCCACTGAAGGGCTCATAAACAGCCTAGAAGAAACCCTGAGAAAGATCACAAAGTCAGACCAGGAAAGAGAGGGAGTGAGTAATAGAAATCGGTACACGCATGCCCGAGGATGTATAGCCTAAGAATGTCCACTGTGTAGTACAAACAGAAGGGAAAACTGAGCATAATATAAAGCCCACAGGTTAAACAATTGAGATAGATCACGCAGCAGGACATTAGATAGCGGCTAAAACAAATGAGATCTCTATGTGTCTAAAGATCTCCAAGATGCTTAGAATTGAAATCAGTGAAGTTTCTTTAAAAAAAAAAAAGTATTTATTTATTTGAAAGGCAGAGTTACAGAGAGGGAGAGGCAGAGGCAAAGAAAGAGGGAGAGAGAAAGAGATCTTCCATTCAGTGCTTCACTCCCCAATGGTCATAACAGCCAGGGCTGGACCAGGCTGAAGCTTCTTCTGGAAGCCAGGAGCTTTTTCTGGGCCCCCCACATGGGTGCAGGAGCCCAAGCATGGTGGGCATCCTCTGCTGCCTTCCCAGGTGCATTTGCAGGGAGCTGGATCAGAAGGGGAGCAGCAGGGACTCAAACCAGCACCCGTATGGGATGCCAGCACTGCAGGACTTGAACCACTGTGCCACAGTGCCAGCCCCAACAGTGAAGCTGCTAACAGTTGTCTGCAGTGGGCTCTCATTTGTATAAAAAAAGGCAAGACTTTGGTGCTTGGCTGTATATTTTCAGAGTGTGCACAGGATACATTGACACATATGAAATTCATAATGGTGGTTGCCTCTGGGGAGCAGATTGGGAGTGCGGTGCCCTCTTATTCTCATTGTGTATTCCCTTTGAACTCCAAAAAAATTTCAGAAAACTATGCATATATTTATTTTGCAAAAATAACCAGGGAGTTAGAAATTTTTAAATGACAGTAGCTTGGCCTCCAAGACGGAGGCAGTGAGGCAGCCTCAGATCCCCACGTGGCTCGACGCTCGAAGTGGGGAGACTGATTTTGAAGACCCAGACTGCTCTCCCTGCACCTGGCTGGGGCAGGCAACAGAAGCGCAGCGCTCGCTCCTGCACCTCGGGCAAATGCAAATCGTGCCCAGAGCTCCCAGGCCTCACAGCCCCCTGCCTCTCTGAAGATGTGGCTGGAATACCTTGGGCCTTCTTGCTCTGCAGGGAAAGGCCGCACCAAGGAGGAGGGGATCACTGGGCTGCCAGCCAGCTTGTAAACGCTTAAAATAGTGTCCCCCGGGCTCCTGAGCCCACAGTGGCTGGGAGAGGTCTTCTCCGTGAGGACTTAGCCAGAGGGCTTGCTCTGGGACAGCTCTGAGGAGCAGCCTCCACCCATGGTGCGGAGGCTTTCACGGAGGCAGGGCAAACACCTGGCCGTGTGAAGCCAGCGAGCCACCTCCGCACCTGGGTCATCTTCCCCACCTACCGGAGCGGCACCTCGGCAGCCCTGCTCTGCACAGCCACACCAACATGCCAGGGCCAGTTTGGGCAGTGATTGGAAAAGAGCAAACTCCCTAAAAGAGAAATGCAGGCGCACGCCTTCTAGCTTTTCCAAGTCCTTCATGGGGGTCCACCCCGAGTCAGTGCAATGGATCACTCTCTTGACACTTGTCATGCCCAGGGCAACAGCAGGGGCATCAGAGACTGAGCTAGACAAACCCAGAGACACTGATGAGTGTCTCCCAGGCTGTAGAGCATCAAAGTTGGGGCCAGCCCTCAGGGTTTGCCCTGTCCCACAGCTAACTTTGTCATCCTGCTCCTTCCTTAAGACACGGTCTCTGTGTACTGATGGCTTTCAGACATGTTTTTAAAAAGTGACAGCACAAGAACCTCACAGTGGTTTCTCCATCACTGGAGGAGAGTGGGGACTTCATGGAAGACAGCAAGCTGGGGGTGCTGGAGTGAAGAGACACAGGCTGGAGTCTGGCAGTGTAGGCCAAAGTGTGCTGGTGGCACTGAGCAAAGAGTGTGGACCGTGAGCCTGCACGAACAGGGTCTGAAGGGGAAGCCGGGGAGACGCAGGGAGGCGCAGAGAGGCACAGGAATCGCCGGCCAGGCTGCGGGCTGGGATCTTCACCGGGTGTCTAAGCCCCAGGCCTCGGAGGCGGTGCAGCTATGCTTTAGAGACCAGGCTGTCGGCACGCATGTATGCTAAACAAAGAACCGTTCATCCAGGCCACACGACTTGGACTTGGGGATTGGTCGTGAATTGGGAAGGGAAAGAGAAATAACTTTGAAGAGCTGGTGATGGACAGGATGCCAAGAAAAAAAAGCGAGGGACCTGGTTAATGACCTTACAAAATGATATGCTAATTTTGCCCATTCCAAACAAAAGAAATCAAAGGGGGGAAAGGGATGAAAATTTCTTCCAAAAATGTTAATTCCGGGAATGTTCTTAAAAGCAGATCCGAGACAGTGAGTCCCTGGTCTGAAACCTCCCAGTAGTTCTGTTAAAGCCCCCAGCCTCCTCCACATCCCTTGAAAGGCTCTTCATGACTTGGTCATCTCCTGTTTCCAAAGCTCCAGCCGTAGGAAGTCACCAGCAGGTTCCAGAATGTGCCAGGCCTCCCTGCCCATCACCTCCCTACCTGGAAAATCCTACACACCTCTCGGGACTCTGCCCTAGTGTCACCTCACCAGGGCTGGGGAGCCACACAAGGCCTGCGAAATCATCTGGTCTGGCCCTGCCAGGACTGGAAATCCAGTCACTCGACAGCAGTCTAATTTTTAGGTTGATAGTTTTGCATGACCCATGAATGGTTTTATAAATACCCGAATGGCCCAGGGCATAAAAAGGCTCCCTAGCCCTGCAGTGTACCCCTAAAGCAATCCCTGCCTTCGCATCCCCTACCCCAGAGGAGCAGCAGGGAGTGCGGCTCAGGTCACATTCCAGTCTGGTTGAAGGCTGGGCGCAGACGTGACCCCCTCACTAGCTGGGGGTTGAGGAGGAGTCCTTGGTCCCCACCCCTCTGCCTCCCTGGCAGTGTTAACTGCTTTTTCCTAACTCACAAAAACCAAGGGCCCACCGTGTCCCCCCTGAGGCTGCCTGGAAACCCGCAGGAAGTAGGTTGTCAAGGTCACCTGCACAGCGCTAACAGCTGCTTCCTCCTCCCTTCTCTCAGGAGCAGGCGCAGCTGCTGGTGGAGAGGCTCCAGACACCCTGGTCCTGTCCTGAAGAGCCCGAGCCCCTGGCCATCAGCGAAGTCTCTCAGCAGGGGACCGCCATCTTGGGACAGCCCCATCGCCCCACGTGCTCAGAAAGCGGCCAAGGTCACCGTAGCTCGGAGCAAGACACAGCAGCGCTCAGTGCCTGCAGCCCGCCACCCCCCGGAACTCTCCTGGCCGAGAAGAGACAGGCAGTGGACCTGTACAAGGTGCTGGGCATCAGGGGCCAGGGCCCAATGCTGGGGAGCCCAGCCAGCCCCTTGCCAGTCCTCCCGGTGGACTACCTCCCCACCCAGGAGGGCTACTTGTCCTCCAACATAGATGACCCCCCTCCAGGGAGAGGCCCTCCCCCTGAGCCTGCGGAAGATCTGGCGCCTCTGCACGTCTCTTTTTCTGTGTTTTCAAACTCCCTTCACCCGCTCCCCTTCTCCTGTGGTGAGAAGCTGACCCTGGCTCACTTGAAGATGGGCTGTGACGCCTCTCGGGCTCTGAGTGGTGAGACTTGAAGGCTGGGAGTCGCTGGGCCGCCAACCAGCACAGCGATGCTCGTCCACCCAGCCTCTCTCCAGTGCTGCTACCATCAGGTGTGGCTGCAGCAAGAGGCAGGTAAGCCAGCTCCGCGTGGATCTCAGAGACTGAGCTGGCCTTCGCCGAGAGCCGTGACAAGACCTACTCCGCCACGCGCATCAGAGACTCCGGCCTGCATTCCTGCCAACTTGGCTGCACTGGCCAGCAAGCAAGGAGGGGAGGAGAGGGGGAACCAAAACTCTGAGCAGTGATGACCCACAATTCAGAGGCCCAGTCACTCAACAAGTATTTGTAAAGTGCCTACTACGCACTACATACTACGTAGGCTCTAGGTCAGTACTGGCCAATAGAACTTGTTGAGAAGACAGAAGCAGCCCACATCTGCACAGTGTGTTAACCACTTGGAATGTGCCTAGTGCGACTGAAGAATGAAATTTTGATCGTTGTTAAGTAGGCACACATGGTTCGTGGCTACCGTGTTGGAGAGCACAGCTCTGGATGGCGGATAAACTTGTGAGCATTACGAGTCTTCAAAATAAATCAGCCTCGTTTTAGAAATGAGGCCCAGATGGTCACGACTGTCTCTATTTGTGGGAGCCTTGGGGTGTACCTTTCCCCTACTTCTCCTGGATGTGCTGGTTTATTGTCTTATTTTGCCTTCCCCCTCTTCTCGGGAGTCAAGGGCAGTTGACAGTGGAGAGCTACTGGACCCCGCCCTGGGACCTGCAGCAAGCCCCTCCGCTCTGTGGCCCAGATGGCTTGTGAAGGGCTGGGCCAAGGGCGCGCTCTGACCCTTTGCTTCCTCTAGTGCTACTGCAAATGCGGCTCCCAGGGCCAGGGCCCTTTCCCGGTCCACGATGCCCAGCCTGCAAGTACGTATTAACAAGCGGTTCACGTCTCTGAAGGCTTCTGCTTTCGTTCCCCGAAGACTGAGCCGCCCTCAGACAGGGCCTGGAAGGTACTTCTCCGGCACAGCATGAACTTGGAACATGGTCATTTCGGTCCTTGAAGGCTGTGGCCTGGGCTTGTCGTCCCACCGTGGTCCATCTCTGCCTATGTGCTTCGCTGTAGCTACCTCGGCTCAGCTGGCAGGGAATGGTTTAAACTGCTCACGGTCCCTTGCTGAAAGAACAGGGCGAAAGCTCCAAGACATGTTTCCTTAAATTCCTGTCAAGCCTGGGAGCCACTACCCACCACCCCTTGCCCCCAGCCCACCCACACCAACCCTGGAGCCAAGGCAGCTTCTCCACTATGCTTTGGGTTTTCACTGAACAAAGAGTTATTTGTTGCAAATTTATACTTCTTCCCTAATCCACCAAACTAGAAATCTGTCCCAGCCCCGTGTAAACAACTGCTCTCAGCCTTTGGTTCACCAGATTTCCTTCAAAGCCCCAGAAGCTGAAGCGAGAACATTGGCTCTGCTTGCTCATGCTAAAATGCTCCTCATCCTTCGCTTCCTGCCGCTCCGGATTTAGCATCTCCCATTCTCTCGGGCTCTCTGTGAAAAGCGTCCGCACCTTCCTGTGCATCTCCGCGCTGTTCTAATTAACTGTGCCGCAGCGACGCCACACCAAAGCGCCTCGCATCCCCACGCAGCTGTGGCGTGTCCGCGTCCAGGATGCAATGCCTTCCGACGGACTGCCACAAGCCGTGGACAAAGCCTCCTTACAGGCAGCACCCCCGCCCCAATACCTCTTGGCAATGGGAGCTAACTTTCCCGCTTTCTGGCAGTGGTTGTTTTTCCTAGCTTTAGTTTCATGACCTGTTCATCTTGGTCTCCTTTCCATCCTCAGCACACACACCCCGCCCCGGTCCTTTTCCTTAGGGTCCCAGGTGATAAAGCCAACCTCACCTGTTGTTTTTAACCAGTCTCCTCCCGGGGATGCTCCCTAGCGTGATTCCCACACCACTTCCGCTCCTGCACTGCATACAATTTGCAAGCAGGAACCAGCAGCAAGCTGGCTCCAGGGTTGGTGTGGGCTGGGGCAAGGGGTGGTGGGTAGCGGCTCCCAGGCTTGACAGATGCTATTCCTACCCACACATAGTTGGCTACCAGTAAAAAGTGAAGTCCCCTGCCGACATTCTTGTCTTTCTCTTCCAGAGACTAGCTGGCTGTGCTTGCTCCCTGTTTGGTGGGGACAATTGTGTCTGTGTGTGTTCCTCATTCTCCATTCCCATTCTACCCCATTCATCGACAGCACCATGGTGATACATGCAGAGGTGTTTCTTCAGAACATATTTGAAGGGGCTCGCTCTTTCCTAGAGATTCTATTTCCAAGCTTTTTTTTTTTTTAATATTTATTTGAAAGAATTACACAGAAAGAGGAGAGGCGGAGAGGCGGAGAGAGAGAGAGAGAGAGAGAGAGAGAGAGAGAGAGTCTTCCGTCCAATGGTTCACTCCCCAGTTGGCTGCAACAGGGTGGAGCTGCGCCTATTCGAAGCCAAGAGCCAGGAGCTTCCTCCCGGTCTCCCACGCGGGTGCAGGGGCCTAAGGACCTGGGCCATCCTCCACTGCTTTCCCAGGCCACAGCAGAGCCGGACCGGAAGCGGAACTGCTGGGTCTCAAACCAGAGCCCATATGGTGTGCCAGTGCTTCAGGCCAGGGTGTTAACCTGCTGCACCACAGTGCTCGCCCCATAGTTTTTGTTTTCTTAAGATGTATTTGAGAGGCAGTTAGAGGGAGAGAGATCCTCCATCCACTGGTTCACTCCCCAAATGGCAGCAGTGGCTGGAGCTGAGCTGATCCAGAGCCAGGAGCCAGGAGCTTCTTTCAGGTCTCCCACATGGATGCAGGGACCCAAACACTTGGGTCATCTTCTACTGCTTTCTGAGACCATTAGCAGGGAGCTGGATCAGAAGTGGAGCAGGCAGGACTCGAAACAACATACATATGGGATGCTGGCATCACAGGTGGCTGTCTAACCCACTACACCACAACAGGGGCCCCCAACTTTGACTGTTCAACTACACTCGGATTATTTCAGTAGGCAAGCCAAAATAACTTCCTTAACAAGGCACTCTTACAGATCAGTCTGAAAAGTGCCAGTACTTCCAAGGGAAACAATCTGAATGAGCAACTTGGAAAAATATTAATGTCCAATGAGCACTAAGAAAATATATTTTTCACTTATCAGTCTATTAAAAAAAAAAAAAAACTAGGCAGCATTAAGCAGGGAAACTGGTGTTCCCAAGTGGGAAACATTAATTGGTCCTTTTATGGATGGCATTATTCAACAAACTCAACTCCTAAACAACTCCATCCTAAATTGAATGCAGCTTTGATTAAAATGGTGGCGGGTGACTGCCTTAAATACCCTTCAGTAAGAACCTGATAAAATCGTGGTTTATCTGTACAAAGAAATACTGAATTTCAAGGAATGTGACCTCATCAATTTTGAGACACCCCATTATTCTACATTGAGAAAAAAAAAGCTAAACTGTAATATGTCATTAATTTCTGTGATACACATTTTCTTCACATTTTAATATGCCTGGAATTTGGCTGTGTCTTAGAACTCAGTTTAAAAAAAAAGTATGCTGTGTAGTTTTTCTAAATAGATGCCAATATTTAATGTGAAAATGATGTGTTACAAAAAGGTTAATGAGGAACCATCTCACTTTTATAAATCATTGCAGAAAGAAAAACAGGAACTGGAAATAACAGTCACCAAAGTACTTCTCTCTAGATTAGGCTGTTTTAAAATTTTATTTTTGCAACTCTAACATTTATTTGAAGGGACAGTGACAGAGAATGAGACAGAGAGAAATATCTTCCAAATCACCACATAGCCAGGGCTAAGCCAGGCAGAACAGAAGCGGAGAATTCTATGCTGGTCTCCTACATGGGTGTCAGGGGCCCAGCTGAGGCCTTGGGCCATCAACTGCTGCCTTCCCAGATGCACTGGATGTAAGCAGCTGCACTGAAGTGTGGAGTAGCTGGGACTCAAACCAGGCACTTTGATAGGGAATGTGTGTGTCCCAAATGGCAGCATAAAACCCCTGTGCCATGCCAGCCCCTACAATTTTTTTTTTAATAAAAAGGTATATTTATATTTGAAAGGCACACTTAAAAGAGAGACAAAATTGTCCATCGCTGGTTCACTGTACAAATGGCCGCAATGGCCAGAGCTGGGTGGGTCTGCGAAGCCAGGAGCCAGGAGTTTCTTCTGAGTCTCCCAAGCTCTTGGACCATCTGCTGCTTTCCCAGGTGCAATAGCAGGGAGCTGGATCAGAAGTAGAGCACCTGGAATCAAACTATGCCCATACGGGATGCCAGCACCACTTACCCGCTACACCACAGGGGTGCCCCCCCCCCCCAAATTCACTTATAAATCCATTGAAGTACAACTAATTTCCTGTCAAAAAGCTGGGATGGTAGATCTAGAGACACTATAGACATTTCTTGTGGCTAATCTTTCTTTCACCTTTTACCATGTGTCTGGCACTTTCCTCAAACTTTAATATTCCTGTCAGACGGCAAAGTACATGACCCAACCAGGAGAGGTGGGGTTGAAGAGCTCACGGTTATAATGGAGGTAATGTGAATCTTTGAAACTGTCTTTACCTAACAAGTCAATTTGTGCCAAATCCCCGTTCTATCTAGGGATTATTAACAATCAAGAGCATCTTCTGTGCGGGGTCTCTCTCTTTGATTCACCCTCTTGCCATGTGACGGTTTGCCATGCCTGGGGATTCTCCAACGCCCACCAGCAAGCATGAACTCAACAAATGCAGCTACCTGAACTTAACTTACCAGTGTTCAGAACCAGGAGTCAAACAAGCCTCTTATCCTTATAGAGGAGTCCCAGGTATTGCTGTAGCACTAGAAAACAAGATTAACACATCTACCACATTACTTACTACATGCACTTTCCAGTGCTGGTTAGTGTAGGTGTATCACCATTTTAGCTAAGGAAACTGAAGTCACCAGTATCAGACAATTTCAGAGCTTAACTTTAACCTCTCCAATTCCATTCTATGCAAATGACTGCTCTACAAACTTACATCAATAGGCATTTTAACTGTACTTGAATATACCTGTAATCCTATAAAATCTTTGAAATGTAAGCCAAAAAATTACAATGCAGTGAAAACCTGGTGCTTCCATATTTCTAGTTCATTCTTGTTTCTTCAGTAATCGATCTAAACTGGCTATCTAAATCCTGCAATAAATGCCACTCCCAAGAAAGTATAAAGGACACTGACATTCAGTATTTAAAACTGTATATCGCGCCTTTGGACAGAAGGGTAACCAGAATATGCTCTAACCTCACCAGAATAGCTTATAACTCAGGACAACATTGACACAGCGGTTGTCACTTATGGTGCCAGCATCCCACATGGGTGCGTTTTGAGACCCAGCTGCTCCACTTCTCATCCAGCTCCCTGCTCCTGTGCCTGGGGAAACAGCTGAAGTTGGCCCAAGTACTTGGGCCCCTCCAACACACATGGGAAAAGTGAATGGAGTTGGGATTCCTGGCTTTGACCTGGCTCAGCCCACACCATTGTAGCTTTTCAGGGAGTGAACCAGCAGATGGAAGTTTTCTCCCAAACGCTGCCTTTCAAATAATCTTACAGTTCTGACTTCACCCAACTTACCTGATTGTTTTCTGTAAACATAAAGGCTATTTCTTAAACAAAAAAGGCTGAACCTGAGTCAGTATTGATTTATGTAAGTTGTGAAGACAGAAATGCATTTTCTTTCATTCTATGGCAATTGGTTCCATACTTTGCTGCTTTGTAAATGTACATGTGTCAAAACCATTCTAAAGTTGGTCCAGAGACTTCAATCATCTCTTTAAAAACACACTTTTTATATGCTACTGAGAGATCCTTTTGGTCAAGTCTCCTGCCTACGGAACAATGTCAGATGAGGTTTGAAATACCTTCTTTCTCCTGTTTCATTTTACAACCTGCAGGTAATATGGACCCAAGGAATCATTATAAAGATTCTTAGTAAACTGTTCCCCAAAGCCCTGAACTGTAACCAAGAGGAAATACCCACCCTCAAAAGCATTTTTGCTGTTGGATGAAAATTATTACAATTATTACCAAAAACACTTGTTCCTTTAACAGTCTCACTTCACTTGCTAAAATCGCAATTACATTTGTATTAACTCGGGTACACATGACTTTCGTGGCCTGAGGATATTTTTCTGTGTGGCTCAAACCAAGGAGCCAGGAGATAATCTTCCCCACCCACCTTGCATTTCTCTCTCTCAAGGTGAAAATAGGACTTTCCAAGATTTCATTTAGAAACAGAAACCTTACTTTATTTATTCCATCACAAAGGGGAAAAAAAGACCATTTGCCCTCTTTTCACAATGCTGTAGAAAATATTTGTTTACGTTTTGTCCATTTCTCATTATTTATACAACTCAATTTGGCTGGATTCCTCTGCATTCCTGTAAACATTCAGAAAACTCCCTTTTCATTTACCCTCTCTGGTCCATTGATAGCAGCTTAACTTTCAGAGTGGCTGCAGGGACAACTTTGACAAGTACATTCATTTTTAATCTGCTTATAAATAGATTGCAAAGTGCAACCTTCCAGTCAATTCAAAACTTTTCCTTTAACAATGTGCAGTTACTTTGAAAGTTTAATAACCCTAAGTAGCAAGAGATTGATGATTCTGGAGGAGGAGGAAACATCCATGCTCTCTCCAAACTGGGAAGTGTTGGTTAGTTCTTCAATCAATAGTTCAGTGACAACTTTTTCTTAATAAATTGTCTACCTTATCCTGAAGAGAACTTCTTAGATGTTAGGTCATTTTCACTAGCACTACACAGCATCCAATGCACTTCACTACTTCGGTAACTTCTAGCTCTAGCATTTGCTTAGAGATGCATGGGGTCAGTCCAGTTGTTTATACACTAATCTACTGGATTTTGTTGATAAAGTTACTACATGCCTCAATCTTTAAAGGTACAGTATACTGTTATGAACAAAATACAGCGGTGTGATGCACACACAACATACCTGCTAGGTATATTTTTTTCCCATGACTAGTGACTGATGAACATCTGCCTTAAAAACAGCTTTATCTAATCAAGGCTTCCCATATATTCTTCAGAAGTTCCTAATTTAGATATGAACACCTAAATTGAAGCGTCAGCAAACATGTATGGAGTATACTAAAAAACACCAAATCAAAGTTGAAACCAAATTAACTTTTTTCAAATAGTGTGTTTCACTAGAAATTCTGGATTTCCAGGGAAAAACACAAACCAATCAGCTACCTCTGAACAAAAAGGCATATATCATTATTTAGTTCACCAATCATGAAGGCCTAAACATGTTCAGCCACGTAACAGGGAAAAACAAAACCACTCATCTTTGCAGATGTATTTAGTGATTTCTCCCCCAAACAAGCCTTGGCAGTCTCAGCACTTAGACAAAATGTCTAAACATAAGCTTGTCTAACCATCATCAGAATGTGGTTGCCAAATGAAGCAACACTTCTTTGTAGATTACACCCCAGGTGTGAATCAAGAAATTAAACATCAAAGTTCCCAAAATAAAATTGCTTCTCAGACATTACACTTTGGCTAACTAGAATATTGTCCCAATCTGACTAAACTCAGGGCATTCCAATGTCAAAACCAAGTTAACCTAGACTATTTTATACAGAATTCTCATTCTAAATATATAAAAATGCCATTTCTTTGAATTAGAGTTTAGATTGATTCTAGAAATCAGCTACAACTGCATTTAAGGTGGGAATGGTGCAAACCAATCCAACTGTCCAAAGATAAACTACTTCCCATTTTCTCTACTTGGTAACACAGCATCAAACTCCAGAGTATCAATCCTCCACTTTCGAAGTCTCTAAACCACTAACACACAAGGCAATTTGAGGAAAGCCACTGCAAGGTCAATTCTTATGAACTGTTTGATCATCTAGTGTGAAACAATCACATAAAAAAATTTTGAAGCCAGTAAATAATCACAATGGCCAACTAGTCATCACCAGGTATCTCCCATGAGCAAGGCCAAGAGCACACATGCAAGCCACTAAGTATTGCAATACCCTCCCCACCCAAATAGAAAAAGGGACACACATTACTGAATTAACACATTAAATACTCACACATCAAAATTTAATCTGGTAAATTATTTTCTAACTTGCAAAGGGCATTTCCATTTGAAAGTGAACAACTGACGCACAGTTACTGAGTATTCAATAGTACAAAAACCACCTCATGCCCAGTGGATATTACGAGCTCTAAGAAATGACTTCTCCAGGAGTCATTAATTCGTGCCCCAACTCAAACTATGAGGCTAATTAAAACATTTGTTCTTACCTACATAAAATAGGTATAATTCTCATCTCAAAAAAAATCATTTAGCACAACAGAACTTAGCACTGATATGAAAAGTACCAAGTGTTAAACATTAATCACGTATACAATACTTCAACAAGATTTATACTTCCCTTAATAGTTTTCAGAATTGAAAATAACAAAACCACCTTTACTCTTACCAACCATATTGCCCCTGCCGATTATGGAAGTCAAAGTTTGCCTTAAAATCACTGATTTCACAACTTTCCATGTGGTAAGATGACTTAATTTGTACCTAGAACTAAACTTTTTTAAGATTGTATGTTGACCCAGGAGTAACAGCAGGGAATCAGAACAGGCAGTAGCAAACATTTTCCATGTTTCAGACTTTGTGGGCTACACCTGTGTTCCTTTGTGGTAGTCCCTTACCGTTAACTCTTCAAAGCCTTTCTTAGACATATAAATATAGGCTACCGTGTGAAGTTTGCAGACCCTATGCTTAGACATATTTCACACTTATCTAGACTTGGTTCTTTCATATGTGGTCAAAATCTTGATGGTTTTAAGAGTCTCCCTACCCTTCTGAAATTACACTTATGTTTGTCATAACCTTGCTTCCCTTATATTCGGATTTTTTGAATTTCTCAACTTCAAAGACTTACCTTCGATCACTTCTCACTTAACTCCCAAATTTGAAATTAAAAATAAAAAAGACTGTAAAATTCAAAACAGGCTTAAAGAGAAAGGTTAACACCAGGGCATAGCTAAGCAGAGAAATCAAATCCAAACTTCCAAAAACTATCACTTACTATCCATAGCTGAACAAAGCCAGACAACTCAGCTTGCAAATATTTCCCAATTACTAGACTCTGAAAGGCTGATTAGGTTTTAACACTACTGATACACCCCCCTGCAAAACACATCCTTAAGTAACTTCCCAGGCTTTCAGTTAATTTTGGAGACCTGGCATTCAGATTTGCTAAACTACTTAATCTCAGTAACTACTTAACCTCAGTATAATTGCAAATGTTTTGAGTTAGAATCAGTTTTAAGCACCTACTTTCTTAAGAACAGGAGTGAGGAATCTTTATTTCCTGCCAAGGCCATACAAAATTAGCAACTTAAAAAGAATTAGCCCTTTATAGATTATTGAATTTTTGCGGTTGCCTTAGGCAAGGCCAGACCAAAGTGATTTTGAGGGTTGAACATTCTCCACTCCAGCTTTACAAAGCAGAACTGCATCCACCTGAGGCCTAGAATTTGCTGTACTGGTTAGCAACTGGGCTGCATGTCGGTACTATATATCTGCATGATTTTACCTTTGAAGTCAACGTCCAGCTAGGTTCTAACAGCCTCACATTTGTTTTTCAAAAACCTTTCAAAACTTGGTTCCTTCCACATGCTAGTGCTGTTCCATACTTTTAAAATCCAATAAACAATAATTAGACTTCTCTCCATTTTTCTATAAACATTCTTTTAGTGCAACCTTGTCTAGCAATTTAAAAAAAGTAACACAATCACAACGAATACTTAAAAGTTTCCCTCCAAATCCATACCAAAAGCAAGTCCCAAATATATTTATAAACCCAGGGATAATGTGTCCTGCTTCTATTCTTTAAAACTGAGTAGAAACTAGACGTTGGCACTTAGGGTTAAGCCACCACCAGCATCCCAAATGGGCATCAGTTCAAGTCCCAGCTGCTCTCCCTCTGATTCCGCCCCCTGCTCATGCGCCTGGAAAGCAGCGGGAAGAACGCTGAAGTACTCTGCCCCAGCCACCCATGTGGGAGAGAGTAGGATGGAGTTCCACGATCCTGACTTCAGTCTGGTCCAACCCAAATCATTGCAGCCATTTGGGGAGTAAATTTTCTCTCCTTCTAATTGTATGCTGTTTTTCAAATAAATAAGCAAAAAAAAATTAGAAATAAACTAGATGTTAATACCTAGGCACGCACTTAAAAAAATCATTCGCAACTCCACAGGCTTGAAAATAATATTTAGCTAATAAAGAAACCATATCCCCATATTATTTAAATCCAAACCATCTTAAACTTTCCATTTAAAGGTATAAAAAAGCTCAGTGAAACAGCCAGCATTTTAGGAATCTGTATATTATAAAGGGATTCTCTTTTTTACCAATGAAAAGATTATTTTTGTATTAGTATGACTAACTTCATTCAAAATACGATTTTCCAATAGAAAAGCCAATGTCTGGCCAGTCCTTAGAATTCAACTTTCCCAATTATAAAATTTATAGGCAATTCTCACAAATTTTGACAGCCTGGTTTGCAAAATAAAATCTCTACATCAAATCTATTTAAACTTTTAAAAACTAAATCAGCATTATCTTGGGGTGTGCAGATGTCAGAAACCAGGAAACACATGAAAATAAATGGGCTCCTATTTGATTGCTTTTATGCTTTTAAGTGAGCATGAAAATAAATCTTTATTTCATTTTTACCCACCAATAAGAGAAAATTAGGTTCACAGTTTTAGCTCTTGACAAAGTGAACTAGGAGGCAAAGTTACACCCATCAGATACAGCTAATGGACCAACTTTTTCGAGCTTAGGCTGTCATGAAAGCTTGCAACATACCAGATATTGCTGTCTATTCTCTAGTAACAATGACTGACAGGTTTTACTAACAGGTGTTTTCTAAAATCATGTTGTTGCAATCAAGGTTTATAAACATGTTACATGTTTGGAAATGATTTAGATACTTCCAAGTCTAAACACACTGATTTAGGAGTGCATATGTTGCAATCTCAAGAGGGGTCAATACTTGCTCTGGGAAGCAGGTATATTTGTAAATATAAAATTATATTTGACATTAGCACCAGTGCAGAACGTGCTCAACATCATAAGATCCAAAACACCAGCACAAATGTATCCATCATTAAAAAAGTTACCTCCATCCTAGGATGTCAGACTACTAGGTAACTAACTAGACTCAAATTCGAATGCATACTCTTGTACTATACAATTTCTTTTAGAATATGTGAGAACCAATCAGCTGAATTGCAGGCATGTTTAAATTTCCAACAGTTTAAAAACGGAATATTATCATTCAGAAGTAGAAAACTACTGAAAATTGAGTGCCAAACTTTAACACCTAAATATGGCAGAAAATTTAAAAATCCTAGGAAACCTGTTTATTCACCATTCTATCCACATTTTAATAAGTGATACTCCCATTCTAGGAATCCATTACTTACCTAATTTCCAAGTGGAAGAGGGAAAGTTAATTATCACTTTTTATGGAACATTCATCTATAAAATTAAGACCAATTAATAGCAATAAAGGAAATTTGGAAAAAAGGATTTTTGGTTTATATTTTATGAATGGTGCTGCTGTTTCAACCTTATAAAGTAAAGCTGTCTGTATTCCAAATTCCAAAAATTAAAATACCCCCCCCATCTCACTATAGTAGCCAGTGCCCTTTGGTTTCTTCAGAACAAAGGATGATTTAAGAGTTGTTGATTGTGAATGTATCATTTTGATCTGGAGAACTTTCACACACACAAATCATACCAAGCGGCCAGACACTTATTTTACAAAACAGTTTAAATATTATGCATTAGCCAGGTCAACTTATTCCACCCACCCTGGTGAGGGGAGGAAAGAGCCCACTCCCATAGAACTACTTCACTTGACAGGCTGTTTCTAGCAGTAATAAGTATCTTAAACAACTATCACAAAGTGTCTAGTTTGGTTCTTCAAATGGGAAAGTCACACATTTTAGAAGTAAATATAGTTTAAATTGTGAATTGGGTATAATTTGAACCTAATGAACCATGCAGGAGGCAAGGGTTAATAAACCAATGTGCTTTGAATTTGTTCAAGTACTGGTATTTCTGTATATAAAGATATAGCATATATAACAGCTATCATGAGAAGTGAAAAAAGATTTTTCCCCAAAAAAATGAGAATATTAAAACTAAGTTAAAATACAATAAAGTAGTTAGTATTCCACACAGCATAAAATTCGACAAATCAAAGTTTACATGTCCCAGTTGACCATGTGTGAAAATGCAAAGCAGGTATTAAAACCAATATTATGTCCAATATTTAAAACCAGTTTGTAATTGGGGGAACATCTAAATCCTTAATTAAAAAACACAAATGAAGTGAAAGCTTTAAACTGGTACACACTGTTCACACCTATATTTCAAGTTTGGAAATGCATATTTGCAAGCAGCATTACAAAAGTATTCATGAAGAATGCATAATCTCTGAAAATTATGAAAACATCCCTGCTACCAATACATTTCTAAATACAAAACTGACTACCATATTTGTTACTTCTGTGTAGCGAGAGAAGTTCATTTTCAAAACAGATAAAATTCAGTCTTTAGGTGTGAATGGTATGAATGACAGTCTTTTTTTTGTTTGTTTTTTAAATTTCTTAGTCGTTTGGGATCCTTTATGCATGCAAAAGCTTTGAACAGGAGGGTCCACCAAGGAACCAGGGTTGTCATGGCATCCAGTTAAGCCAGAGCTGGAAATGCCTCTGGGTCATCCACATCAGGAGCAGAAGCACTTGACTGAAAAAGAAAAGTAAATTCTATTAACCACAAATTCTCAAATATTGAAAATATACTGCCAGTGCCTATGTTTACAAAACTCTAAATTCTCTGGTAATAAGCACAAGCAGTCTTAGGTTTGCTAATAAATCACTCATGGAGATTTTACATGGGACATGTATGCTTTAAGAACAGCATCCATGTGAAAGCATGCTGGGGCCGGCACTGTGGTGCAGAAGCTAAGCCGCCGCCTACAGTGGTGGCATCCCATATGGGCACTGGTTTGAGACCCAGCTGCTCCACTTTTGATCAGGCTCTCTGCTGTGGCCTGGAAAAGCAGTGGAAGACGGCCCAGTCCTTGGGCCCCTGGCTTCAAGATCAGTGCAGTTCTGGCCGTTGCGGCCATCTGGGAAATGAATCAGCAGATGAAAGACCTCCCTCCCTCTCTTTCTGCCTCTCCTTCTCTCTATAACACTTTCAAATAAATATTAAAAAAAAAAAAAAAGCATGCTAAGAAACCAACTAACAATAATTTAGGCAGCATTCACAATGCTAGAAAGGGATCCAACTGCTGTTTACAGCCTAAAACACTAAATTAAAAACAAGTGTATTGAAAAGGACCATATACAAAACACTGACTTAAAAAAAAAACTGATGTCAAAGGAAGAACGAAATAACACTACATTGTTAATAATGACCATTAAATCTAACATTTAAGTCAGCACCATAATCAAATACAGATAAGACTCAATCAAGCATATGGGTCTCCAAATTTATCAGATATTGAGAATTCAAGATCTTACAAGTTATTTCCAAGCTAAATCCTAAGAAAAAAATTACTCAAAAGTTACCTTTAATACTTTAGCTTAACAACACATCGTCACTGAAAGCACAGACCTCAGCAGACAGATCTGAGTTCAATGCTACAAGTTACTTGGGCATCTACCAAAGTACTTCATGAAGAACTTATCTTTAAATGCTTGAAAGAATAAATATATTTATGGGGTTCGCACCATGGTACAATAGGTTTATATTCTGCCTGCGGCACCAGCATCCCATTTGGGCGCCGGTTCGAGTCCCGGCTGCTCCTCTTCCAATCCAACCCTCTGCTGTGGCCTGGGAAAGCAGTAGAAGATGGCCCAAATGCTTGGGCCCCTGCACCCGCTTGGGAGACTAGGAAGAAGCTCCTGGCTCCTGGCTTCAGATCGGCGCCAATCCAGCCACTGTGGCCATTTGGGGAGTAAACCAACAGAAGGAAGACCTTTCTGTCTCTCCCTCTTACTGTCTAACTCTACCTCTCAAATAAATGAATAAAATCTTTTAAAAAAATATATTTACCCTGACTGGACATTATACAATGCATACATGTAACAAAACACCACACAGTATCCCATAAATATATACAATTTTTATGTCGTTTAAAAAAATTTTAATAAAAAATACACTGCTCTGAGCCACACACTGCAGAAGGCATTGGAGATATTACATTAAGTAAGGACAAAAGCAAAATCCCAGCTCGGACAGAAGAAATCTAGTGAGGAATCAAGAACAAGAGCCAGTGCTGTGGCACAGCAGGTTAAAGCCCCGGCTTACAGCACCAGCATCCCATATGAGAGCCGGTTTACATCCTGGCTGCTCCACTTCTGATCTGGCTCTCTGCTATGGCCTGGGAAAGCAGTGGAGGATGGCTCAACTCCTTGGGCCCCTTCACCGCGTGGGATACAAGGAGGAGGCTCCTGGCTTCAGATCAGCTCAGCTCTGGCCATTTCGGTAATTTGGGGAGTGAACGAGCGGAATGGAAGACCTCTCTCTCTCTGCCTTTCCTTCTCTGTGTAGCTCTGACTTTCAAATAAATAAAAGTAAATCTTCAAAAAATAAAATCAACAAGACCAATAATCATGTGTCACAAAAGTAATTATACAAAGGACACATGGTTATGTTAAGCAGAGACATAAAAAAAAAAAAAAACAGTAAATAATGATCAAAGTAATAGATTGTATTTCCGGAAGAACTTCGCGAAAGCCAAGTTAACGTGATTCCCTGTATCGAATCTTCTCTTCTGTAAAATGGTCATTTAAGTGCTTTAAACAAAATTATAATCTAAACTCTAGTTTCTAGAGGGCATGGTTACCTTTTCTACCTTTTATACCCTCAAAAGAAATCAGCCAGTGATTTACCAGAAAAGGTCTCTAAATTACATAAAAGGGGAAAATTAGTCTTAAAATCACCTTGTCAGTCCTGCTGCCACGGTTCGGACGTCCACCACGCCCACGTCCACCTCGCCCTCCCCTGCCACCACGTCCTGGGCGGCCTAGGTCTCCAAAATTGATCTCCAGCTGAGACGTTATATCATTTGCTGGCTTCCGGAAATGATGGTCCATAACAGAGTCTTCAGCATGAGCCTAAAACGTTAAGTGAAGGCCACTGAGTAATTAATAGGGAACTTTAACTAATAGATGAACTTTCTCCTAAAAATAAATTTAAAAATCCAAACTGTGGGAAACTTGTGGGAAAAAAATAAATCAACATCTCTGTAGGTAATTAGTAAGATTTGGGCTCAGCTAAAGTGACCCTGGAGGAAGAATTCCCTTCACCTTCTCTCTCAAATTTCTCTAGCCTTAAATTCCAAGTGTTATCAGCAGTCCTTAACTAAAAATAATCACAATTAACCCAAACTGGCTGGTCTCCATCCCATACCTACATTGTCATCTTCAGCAGGGAAGCCTGGATGAACATTATAAATATGCTCTTCATATTAAGATTCCAATGTTTACTCCTTGATGCAGACCTCTGGATCTATGACACAGGGTTTCTACTAATGATAATCTCTTTAAAAGTTATAAAGAAAATCTCTTGTTTTACATTCTGCCAATTATGACTTGGGAAAATACATTTTTATGTACAGATTCCTCAGGTTGTGTAAAAATACACCAGGGTGAGCATCTATTAAAAAAAAAATCAAAATCTGAACCCAGCAGGTAAAATTGCCATCTGCAACGCCAGCATCCCATATGGGCACTGGTTTGTGTCCTGGCTGCTCTACTTGTTCAGCTCCCTGCTAATCCATGCAGGAAAGCAGCAGCAGAGGGTCCAAGATGGAGCCCTGCCACACAGTGGGAGACCCCAATGAAGCTCTTAGGTCCTGGCTTCACCATGGCCCTCCCTTGGCCACTGTAGCCATCTGGGGAGTTGAATCAGAGGACGGCATATCTTTGACTCTCCCTGTTTCTGTAACTCTTTCAAGATTTAAAAAAAATTTTTTTTTTAAATAAATAGGGGACAGCACTGTGGCGTAGCAGATAAAGCTACCGCCTGCGGTGCCAGCATCTCACATGGGCACTGGTTCGAATCCCGGTTGCTCCACTTCCAATCCCGCGCTCTGCTATGGCCTGAGAAAGAGGAAGATAGTCTAAGTCCTTGGGCCCCTGCATCTGCGTGAGGAAACCTGGAAGAAGCTCCTGGCTTTGGATAGGCCCAGCTCTAGCCAATGCAGCCATCTGGGGAGTGAACCAGTGGATGGAAGACACCTCTGTGTGTTTGTGTTTGTCTGTGTGTGTGTGTGTGTGTCTCTTTCTCTCTCTCTGCCCTGCCTCTCTTTAACTCTGCCTTTCAAATAGTAAATCTTAAAAAACAAAAACAGAAAGGTGATAGATTCTAATATTAAGTTTAAAGGAACCAAGAAACAAATGTATATTGTTGTCTATGTTTTAAATATTGGCTATTTCAAACAAATTATGCCAATTAACTATCAAACTTAGAACCTAGAAGCAAAAAGAGCATACAGTAACACCCTACTGAAATACCTGGAAGGTATTACTGCAGTAAGAGGAAGTCTGAAGGTTCAGAACACATCCCTAACATTCAAGGCTAGGATAGATTGGCAAATATTACTTCTAGAGCAGTTACTTTTGAGAGCATCTAGAGTATAACAAGTGAACAGAAGTCTGACCTCAGTCCTCCATTTCTGAAGCAGTTAAGGTTTCTTTCCCCTAAGTACTTTACGTTTATCATGAGAAACAAGATATTTCAGGGAACCAAAGTGCTAAACACAAAACTTGAAGATTTGATTATTCAAATGACAATGCCACATAGGCCAAATGTAAACAAGGATACATACCACAAAGCCACACATTTTAAAGGCCCAAGCATATAAAAGTGTTTTGCGAATGAAGATATCTTTTTATTCAGAACCACATTTTCAAACATCTCTGATAAAAACTGCCTTGTATACTAGTCTCCACTGATCCACAGAGAATAGATTCTAAGACCTCCCTAGTGGCTGTCAGAAATCTTAGGTAATATCAAGCCCTATACATAATACATGTTACTACACACAAGCTACTTAAGTGACTAATGGATAGGCAGTGCATACGGTGTGGATAGCCTGGCCAAAGGAATGATTCACACATTAGGTGGGAGAAAGCAGGCCAGCACGAGATTTGATTAGGCTACTGATGATGGCATGCTATTTAAATTTATGTATTACAGTATTTCTGGTATTTTCCATTTATTATTTTCAGGCCTCAGTTGACTGTGGGTAACTGAAATTGCAGAAAGCAAAACCACGGATAAGAGGGGAACACTTTAGTTATTTTTGGGAAGCTCAATGTAAAATATAGAAGATAGGATACCAAGGTATGAAACACACCACCACCAAGAGACTTCGGGGCACTAGGTGAGCATTATGGTGCAGTGAGTTAAACTTCTACTTGAGATGCTTACATCTCTGCCAGTTCAAATTCTAGCTATTCTGCTCCTCATCCAGCTTCCTGTTGATGTGCCTGGGAAGCAGAGACTGATGGCTCAAGTACTTGAATTCCTGCCACCCATGTGGGAAACCTGGATGGAATTCCTGGCTCCTGGCTTCAACCTCAGCTGTTGTGAACTTTTGAGAAATCAATCTGCAGATGGAAGATCTATCTCTGCTTTTCAGATGATTTAATCAATAAACCTTAGACTTAAAAAGAAAAAAAAAGGGCAAGACACTTCAGGGTATTAATGGAATTACCCAAATTGCAACTAGAATTTTATGTGTATATGGTATTCATTCAGGGAAAGTCCAGTCAGAACCCCAAAGCCTAACAAAAAACTGTCTAACAGGAGGCCAGGCAAATCTTCTTATATAAATCTATACAGTTCAAGTGAACAATTTCTCCAAGAACGTTCATGATTCCTCAACCAGAAATTGTTTTGTCTTACTCAGACACACTAACAACTTCATCTCCAAAGACTTAAGTAAGAAAAGGGCCTAGTGTTATAGTGTAGCAGGTATGGGCACAGGTTTGTGTCCCAACTGCTCCACTTTACATTCAGCTCCCTGCTTATGTGCCTGGGAAAGCACTGGACAATGGCACAAGTGCTTGGGGCCCTGCCACCCACATAAGAGACCGGAAGAAGTTACTGGTTCTGGCTTCAGCCTGGCCCAGCCCTGGCTACTGCAGCCATCTGGGAGTGAACCAATGGATGGGAGACCTAAATCTGTCTTTCAAGTAAATAAAGCTTTTTTTTAAAAAAAAAAAAGTATTCTAATATTTCCACGTTTATTCTAAAGCCATTCTTTAATTCAGAAAACTAAAAGAGGGCTGGCATTGTGATGCAGGTTAATCTGCCACCTGTGACTCTGGCATCCCATATGGGTGCCCGTATCTGTGCCAGCTGCTCCACTTCTGATCCAGCTCTCTGCTATGGCCTGGGAAAGCAGTAGAGGATGGGCCACGTTCTTGGGCCCCTGCACCCACGTGGGAGACCAGGAAGAAGCACCTGGCTCCCGGCTTCAGATCGGAAGTCTTAAAAACATTCACAGGAATTATGTCTGTTAATTCCATTTTCCATCAACTTTTTTAATTAACCCTATTATCCTTGGGAAACTTCATACAAAATTTATGCATACAATTTAAGTCACACCTGAATATTGTCAAACACCACCAAACTTAAAGTTTACCTCTTCACTCTTTGATTTATGAAGAACAAATCCTTTCTTCCATTGCCCATCAGCACCTTCATTTGGTTTTCGGATATTAAATTCTACTTTTGCCCGGTCTTTATTCTGAATTGCTTTCCACTCATCCAAAGTCATCTCTTTTGGACCCTCTTCCTTTACCTCTTCCACTTCGTTTTCCCTGTGAAAAGATGTTTTAAATTTATACCTGGTAGAGGACTTGTATGATTTACATTAGTATTTCAAATTTACAGCTGTAAGAAGTTAACTTGACTGGTTGGTAATATTTACAGAAAAATTATCCAAGGATGGGAGTATCACAGTTTTTTCTATAGCTGTTAACAGAATCCAAGAATTCAGCAGCTGTTGATTTGAAGTATAGATAACTGAGGAATATGTAATTTTTTTCAAAACTCATCAGTAACATAACTATAATTGGTCTTACCAATCCTTTAATGTACATTTCTTAAAATCAAACTAATTTAAAAACTGTACCTGCTTATGTAATTAAAATCCTTGACCTGTCTCCTCCTAAAACACTTAAGTTTTCACGATACTCACATAGGACTTAAGGTATTTCATCCAGAATGCCTGAAGACCAACCAGATTTCATATTCTAAAATGTAAAATAAACTATTCCTCTATCCTTTATTTCGGCAAGTAGCACTTAAGACAAACCAAAACAAAAATGGTATTTCTACAAATCCTACAAATAAATCTTCCAAGTTCTCAGAAAATGCCTATTATGAAAAAACCATGCATAGATTTCAATTTGTACATTAAAATAAGCTTCTCTTAAAGATTCATTGAAAAGCAGAGTTAGAGAAAGAAAGATTTCCCATCTGTCATCCATAACTCTCCAAATGGCCGCAATGGCCAGGGCTGGGCTAGGCTGAAGCCAGGAGCCTGTAACTCCATTTGGGTCTCCCATGTGGGTGGCAAGGGTCCAACCACTTGGGCCATCTTCCACCGCCTTCCCAGGCACACTAAGAAGAAGCTGGATGGATAAATGAAGTGGGCAGTACATGAACCAGCACTCATATGGGATGCCAGCATCACAAGCAGTGGTTAACACACTGGGCCACAAGTTATGTCTTAATTCCACTGTTCTTTCTGAAGTATCCTCATACACAAAATGGCAAGTTAATTTGTCTAAGAACAGATTAATCAAACTGCCCACAAAAAACACTGGCTTCAATTTTTAATAGCAAATTAATTACAAACAAATGTAATTCTCAAGGTAGTTAACTACTCAATATTAACTTTTACTCTATTTACAGAAACAATGCACAGGTCTGAGAATCCACTATTTTAGTCTGATTTCAATTTCCAACTTTCATCAAACAACTCATTTACTATTTTGGGAGCCCTGCTTCTTTCCAAACATAGCAGGTGATTTGGTTAGCCTTAGAAGTGCAAATAGCTCTCTCTTGACAAATTTTATCTCAAAAAAAAAGTGTTACATTTGGTACTACTGGTGCCCAAAAATGCTTACATAGCAGTCACTAACTCACCAATCACAACTGATCAGTTAGGTTCCCACACAAAATTAGGCTTCCATGAAGACTCATAAATGAATGTTACCAAGTGCAAAACATCACCTCCGAGTAACAAATATTTGTATCTACTATCTGATAGTCAATCATTTTCCCGTAGCCAAACAAACCCATGTAATGATTCTCCCTCCCACCATTTACAGTGGTTCACCCATTCTGCCTGGAGAACAGAAAACTTTTTAAAGAGCATCCGCTCCTTAGTTGCTTTCAGTTTGTTCTGTAATTATCACTGCCCTACATAAAAACAGACACATACACTAATGAAGCAGGGAACCCAAATAAACCCACATATTTTTAGCTGATTTTTGATAAAAGCACCAAGACCATACTTTGTACAGTAAAGAATGGACAGTCTCTTCCAAAAAATGGTGCTGGTAAAACTGGATATCCATATTCAGGAGAATGAAGCTGGTACCATCTCTCACCACACACAAAGATTAATTCAAAACAGATCAGACTTAAATGTAAGACCCAAAACTGCAAGTACTAGAAGAAAACAGGAAATGTTTCAGAACAGTGATCTAGGAAAAAATACTTTGGATATGACCCGAAAAACAATGGCAAAAGCAAAAACTGAGAAATAGGATTACATCAAAATAAAAAGCTTATACACACAAAGGAAATCAACAGTGAAGAGATAATGTATAGAATGGGAGACCTAAGAGTAAACTACCCATGACAAGGCATTTACATCCAGAATATATAAAAAATTCAAACAGCAAAACAAAACACCGAATCATTAAAACCCAGGCAAATAATCTGACAAAAAAAAAAAAATGCTTAACACTAACCATCAGGGAACTGTAAAACAAAACCACAATGAGACAACATCTCATCCCAGTCAGAATAGCTATCATCCAAAGACAAAAAATAACTACAGGAGAGGATCCATAGAATGGGGGCTCTCACACATCATTGGTGGGAATTCAATTCCTACAGCTATTACGGAAAGCAACAATATGCAGGTTCCTTATAAAGCTAGAGGTAGAACTCCATAGGGTTCAGCAATTCAAAAAGAAACAAAATCAGTATATTGAAGAGATAGCTGTACCCTCACGTTTTCTGCAACACTATTCACAACAGCCAAGTTACAGAATTATCTTAGGTGCCCATGAACAGGTGAATGGATGAAGAAAATGGATAAATGGAATACTACTCAGCCATAAAAAAAAAGGAAATCCTTCCTTTCATACCAACAAAGATGGAGCTGGAAGACATGCTAAATGAAGTCAAGTCAGGCACAGAAAGACAAATATCCTTGTTAACACTTATATGTGGAAGCTAAAAGTGGAGAGTAGAATAGTGGTTTTCAGAGGCTAGAAAGAGAACGGAGAGGGAAGACAGAGAAAGGGTGTTTAACAGGTATAGGAGGGATAATTTCTAGTGTTCCTATAGTACAGTAGGGTTACTATGATTGACAACAACCATGGGGCCGGCGCTGTGGTGTAGCAGGTAAAGCCGTCACCTGCAATACCGGCATCTCATATGGGCACTGGTTGGAGACCAGGCGGCTCCACTTCCCATCCAATTCTCTGCTATGGCCTGAGAAAGCAGTAAAAGATGGCCTAAGTACTTGGGCCCCTGCTCCTGTGTGGGAGACCGGAAGAAATTCCTGGCTTCTGGCTTCGGATTAGCACAGCTTCGGCTGTTGCGGCCAACTGGGGAGTGAACCAGCGGATGGAAGACCTCTCTTTCTCTCTCTCTGCCTCTCCCCTCTCTGTGTAACTCTTTCAAATAAATAAATAGATCTTAAAAAAAAATAAGGCAATAACCATGTATTTAAAAATAGCTAGTAGAGAGGATTTTCTTCCCACCTAGCTCCCTGTTGGTGGCCTGGGAAAGCAGTGGAGGATGGCCTACAACTGCATGGCTCTCGGCTCCTGACTTCGGATTGGCTCAGCTACAGCCATTACAGCCTTTTGGGGAGTGAACCAGCAGATGGAGGACTTCTCTGTCCTTCTCAGTTGGTAACTATGTCTCTCAAGTAAATGAATATTAAAAAAAAAAAAAAAAGCACCTCATACAGACATACTCGTGTTCTAACTAAATACAAAAAGTTCAAAGCAAAATCAAAGCCCTAAATAAATGTAAATCCAAGACTTTAAACCATGATTTAACAAATAAGTAGCATATAACTTCCACCTGGGCTGATTAAAACTACAAGGAGGCCAGCGCCGCGGCTCATAGGCTAATCCTCCGCCTAGCGGCACCAGCACACCGGGTTCTAGTCCCGGTCAGGGCGCCGGATTCTGTCCCGGTTGCCCCTCTTCCAGGCCAGCTCTCTGCTGTGGCCAGGGAGTGCAGTGGAGGATGGCCCAAGTGCTTGGGCCCTGCACCCCATGGGAGACCAGGAAAAGCACCTGGCTCCTGGCTCCTGGCTCCGGATCAGCGCGGTGCGCTGGCCGCAGCGCACCGGCCGCGGCGGCCATTGGAGGGTGAACCAAAGGCAAAGGAAGACCTTTCTCTTTCTCTCACTCTCACTGTCCATTCTGCCTGTCAAAAGAAAAAAAAAAAAAAAAAAACTACAAGGAACATTTATGCAATTTTTCAGCTTAAATCTCTTACCTTTGGAAAAATAAAAACTTTAAATAAGGTATTCTACCTAACCCAGAAAAACAAAGCTAATGAACTAATAACACATTCTGATCTTTGGTTCCTCACACATTTTAAAACAAGATGGTGGGGCCAGTGCTGTGTCTCAGCAAGTTAAACCACCATCTACAGCACTGGCATCCCATAAGGACACTCCAGTTCCCTGCTAATGTGCCTGGGAAAGCAATGGAGGATGATGGTCCAAGTGCTTGGGACCCTGCACTCATGTGGGAGACCCAGATGAAGCTCCTGGCTCCTGCCTAGCCCAGCCCTGGCTGTTGTGGCCATTTTGGAAGGGAACTAGCAGATGGAAGATCTCTCCCTCCTTGTATCTCTGCCTTTCAAATAAATAAATAAATCTTTTTAAAAGAAAGTCAGTAATACTATGTTCCAAATTTTATGCTGTTGGAAAGAGATGAAATTAATTTTTAGTTTTAAGCTCCATGCCCTCAGATCTCATGTAAACTACACTATGGCTATTGATTGGCTAGAAATACCTGTGTGCATTTTAAGCATAACATCACCTGCCAAGTTAGGGCATGTGCGAGACCAAACAGCAAGTAATTTTTTTAAATTACTGAATAAAAAGGATAATACCTTTAAAAAATAAACTGTCTTACAATTTGCCTTTTTTTTTTCTTTTTATTTGACAGGTAGAGTCATAGACAGTGAGAGAGACAGAGAAAGGTCTTCCCTCTGTTGGTTCACCCCCCAAATGGCCGCCACGGCCAGTGCTGCACCAATCTGAAGCCAGAAGCCAGGTGCTTCCTCCTGGTCTCCTGTGCAGGTGCAGGGGCCCAAGCACTTGGGCCATCCTCCACTGCGCTCCTGGGCCACAGCAGAGAGCTGGACTGAAAGAGGCGCAACCAGGACTAGAACCCGGCGTCCATATGGGATGTTGGCACCTCAGGTGGAGGATTAACCAAGTGAGCCACAGCGCCGGCCCCACAATTTGCCATTGTAAAATGTCAAAAAACTCTATGAGATACAAATTTGATATTCTCTAACAACGTATCAACATTTTAGAAACTTCCAACACTATTTTCCTGTTCCCACCTATGATACCTGAGAACAAGACAGTTACTCAATAAGGGAATCAGGTCAAATGCATGGCACCTTACTCCAGAAGGGCTAACCTGTTTTACTAAACTTTGTATATTCTTGACTTTTAAAGATGTATGACAATGGTAAAATGACCAAATAGAAAGAGTCATATTAGAATGTTTCATTTTCCAAGCCATTAATGACAAATGTATATATGTGTGAAGCAGCCTTCTAAACAGTACTTGAATAAGTCTCTTGTCAAAAATGCATCAAATCACATGAAGTCAATGACATCTTACTAGTAAAATCCCAAACTGTGTTCACTGCTGAAGCATCACTGCTACATCAAAACCACTTACTTATTTTCAGTGTCTGCCACTGGATGTTCTTCACCTTCAGGTGTTTCCTCAGTCACATTTGATTGATCCAAGTCACTGCAATTATAAGATATTTGTTTCTGAATGTATTTTGGGGACTCTCTAAGGAAAGAAAAGAAAAAGAAAAGCATCTAGATCCATTTACGTGTAGCCAAAGAGTTCTTCGTAACAATTAAAAACTTCATAATCTTTTGTCTTTTCCTACTAAATTTATTCCCCAGTACAGCTCTAAGAGAAAACAACATCAACTACTGGTGATTCACAGGCTTATTCACAAGTTAACAAGAACCAGAATGTAAGCAGCTGGAAAAGTAACTATTACAGACACAAAGGAAATCATTAGAATCCTCAAGTAACTTCAATGTAAAATATCAAGAAAAGCTTTATATTCACATGAAAAAAAATTAGTAACATATACAAGTATACAGAAGTATAGAATAATTGCTCATTTGATATACTGTAACCCAAATCTATCCCATAAGGCATTGTCTTTTAAGACAATATCTCTGAAATAAGAACATCCATTCTTGTTCCAGGAACAAAATTTAATAAATGTATAGGTTAAGACTCTAGATTAGTTTAGGATCAATTTTATTAAAAAAATCGGAATACCAACGTTAATTCATCTTTGACAGTTCCCCAGTTGTGAGATCCGCTACCTCCACGTTTGTCCTCGTGCTTCAGACCACTGTAATGTGAAAAAGAACTAACAAAACTGAGTTAACATAATACTCTTTAGTTCTAGAAATTCAAATTTTGTTTATTAAATAAATGCATTAAAATATAAACATAAAATAAAAACCAATCTAAGACTTACGATCTATCACTTCCACTATGCCTGTCAAATTCACGTTTGCCACGAGAATCAAATCCATCTCCTCGGCCCATTCCACGTCCACGGCCTCCTCGACCTCTTCCTAGACCACCACGGCCTCGGATAGGTCGGTCAATTATAGGCCTACAATACAAAATTTAAAAATTTAGATTTCCATGGTTTCCAAAAAAAGGAGTAAGAGAAATCTATTCAAGCACTCAAAAACACATATTTACTGGCTCATAAATCATCAGTTAAAGACATGCTTTAGAAAATTCTAGTCTATTTCTAAACACATAAAGGAAATCAGAACCAGGAAGCTCCCATTCTCAGAAGAAAACTGTTTTTGGAATCCTCACAGGGGTAGGGAACCTTTTTTTCTGCCAAGGGCCTTTTGTATGTTTATAACATCACTCTCAGGTCATACAAAATTATCAACTTAAAAAAATTAGCCTGCAAAAGTTCCTGAATTTCAAGTCCCACTTGCAGTTGCCTTGGCAAGACCAAACCGAATAATTTCTTACACTTCACACAGCCCAAAAGTTGGCCATTCCCGACCCCTGCTCCAAAGCATTACTACTAGTGCATAACTACTAGTTTTCACTATTATTCACTGATTATAATCAAGTAACACGATTATTCTCCAATACATTTAAAAACTAAATTAAGCACAACTAACCTGCAGAATGAATAACCTTTTTTACTATTTAAAGAGCATTTTTCTTTTAAGTCAAAATCTGGGGAGAGCAAAGAAATGACAGTGGCCATCAATTCAACTGAAACTGCCTCATTAGAAATCTAAGTCTGGACTGTTATCCAAAGGTCTGAGGATAACAATATACTCAGATACCTCAGAAACTGGTAAATGCGATCAGCCTCTCTGCTACCTGGCAATGATGCCCAAGTGACAGCTTTGTGTTAATATAGGACTATGCATTGACAAAGCATGAAAAGACTTTTTCTAAAAAAGAAATCTTACCTATCAACTGAAAACTCTCCTCCTTCACCCTTTTCTTCTAGTGGCTTTTCAAATCTTCTTTCACGAGGTGGTCGCCTTTCTGGTCTTCTATCAATTATTTTCCCTTCACCTTGAAGCTGTTGATCAGGTCTTCTCCCAACACGTCTTATTCCTAGAACATTAGATAACCTGTATAAGCAAATTATCTCTGCAATACAAAAAGTTTAGTCCTAGGCTATCCAAAAACCACAGTGCTACTTTTTCAGTCCACTAACTAGCATTTCCCATTGGAAAAAGCAAACACCAACCATTCCTAATGTGTAACAAAGTATTTTAGGGAAATTCTTAAAAACAAAGTTTGTTGTGAACTTCTATTTAGTTTGCCAAGTTATCTTCCCACATTAAAGCATTCTCTATAACTGTCTTGAAGTCATTTGAGCAGTCATTCCGCCTCACCTTTTTCAAGATGTCAGCCTATTGATAATTTAAAGAAACTGTAGACCAGAGATACATTTTGGCTTTAAAGTATCAAAGAAAATAATACCAACAGTCATTCATAAGTAACCAATTAAATCAACCAAAAAAAAAGTCGTGCTATTTTAGTCTATATAATCTGAAAAAAAATTGAGTAAAAAGACCCATAATTCTATGAAATTACACACTGAAAGGAAAACAAATGGTATTTAATGTTATTTAAAAAAATCCACCATCTAAAATAGTTATTTAACCAGAAAAGTACTATCTTCTGTAAATATCTAATACATGAAAAGCGTGCACAAACATCTACACTAGACACCTAGCTAAAAAAAAAAATTCTCATGTAACCACTAGGAAAATAGCTTATTTATCAATATGAATGGAGAAAGTCTGTTTTTAGGTTTACTCTAACACGTATGTTTGTTTTCAAAAAATCTTTATAAAACCACATTTATACACAGAAGCAGTATTATCAGAAACTATGGAAGATATCTGAATTAGTTACTGATTTCCTACCCCCATACTGTTTTTTTTCCTGTTAATGCCTTAAGTCCAAACCAACATGAATTATTGGTGACCTTAGGATAAACAGATTGATGGCTAAATTCATGACTGAAATTTCAGGTATGCTGAAATTACCAAACCACAATTTCTGACAAAGTCAAAAAGCAGTTAAGAAATTGGTTTTACAAAATCTGAAGTTATTTCTCTTGGGTTCTTTCTAAGAAAGTGGAACACAATCAGGGCATACCCAATCATTTAGCAGCCTGTTACCAAACACTAAATTATCAATCTGGTTATTAAAATGTTAAGGTTCATTCCCTATAAACTCTCAGAATAGACCACAAATGTCAGACCTTACACTGAGGCACTTAAATAAATGTCATCAGAGGCATAATGTATTGGGGTGGAGCTATAGAACCAATTCCCAGGCTATCCAAGCCAAATGCACCCAATTAACAACTTGCTTCCCCACCCAATACTATCTTGCAGGATCTAGAAAAATTTAAATAGGCTCATCTAACGCGAAATAATTGGTATTTTTTTTTAAAAAAAGTTTCTTCTGATACATTAATACATACCTGCAAGCCCACTAACTGCACTAGATTCCAGACTATTATTTAAAAAAAAAAACCTGGTCTACAACCTCAGTGACTTTGCTGAATCAATTCTCAAGTTCTTCCAACTACAAAATCAACATTGAACATGTAGCTAAAGTACATCTAGCACTGTGTCAGGACCGATTACTAATGGCACAGAACAAAACTGGAGTTAACAACTTGCCAGTAGTAAGAGGCAGGGACTCTGTTCACAGGCCTATCTATCCCTAATACATGGAACATGGATTGACAGGTTGTAGTCCCTTGTGTTTAATTATACTCCATTCATGCAACTTCAGGTTAGGAATGTTCTGAAATACCGACCTAAGGAAAAATGTTGGTATCTAACACAAAATCGTTTCCTCAAGGAAACAATGTCTTACTGCACAGCAGTTTGCTAACTGAGTTTGCTAACTCAGTCCTGGTTAAAAATTTATGAAATAATTCTCTCCATTTGAAACTTACAAGGTTAATTTCCAGTTAAGACTTCATTTTCTAAATGGGCTTCATGCTCAAAGGAACTAAGGCATTTAAAAGCATGCTTCAAATTTTGAACATTCAAAAGAGTGAACACATACATCTATCTGGTACAGCATAGACTTTATGCTTTAGACTCACTTTTTTTCCACGAACTTTTCTTTGAATCACTATGATCAGGAGGGTAAACTCAAGCACTGTTTAAATAATCACACAAGGCAGTGGTAGTCAACAGAAATTAAATGACGTACACATGCTTTCTAACACTCCAACTACGCTGCTGCAAACTTGTAATTTTAACACAAGAATTGTTTTATTCACCACACTGGTCCCAGCTTCTTCAGTCTGAGCCTCACAGCAGCTCTCAAAAAAAAAAAAAAAAAAAAAAAAAAACACGCACACAAAGCCGATCACTGTAAATTATTTTGATTTGTTAAGTTAGTTGCATGCTATATGAATGTGTAAGAGAAATAGGTCCTTTCAGGAGCACGTGGCAGTGAGGCGTAATTTCAACTACAGGAAGGCAATTTCAAAGCGATCGCACACTTTCTTACCCCCAATAGTTTTTACTTTTTCATAGTCAGTAACGACTGAGGCTGCAAAAGTCAGGCCAACTCTGACAACACACGGCGCCTGGAACGCAGCTATTAGCCGCCAGTGAAATCCTGACCACGCTTCACGCACACGTGGAGAATAAGCGGCAGACGGAGAATCTGCCGCGGCGAGCGCTCTGACAGCCTCTGCACTCCTTTCCGCCACGAGGCCCAGGCCCGACCCCCCAAAACACTGAGCCACGGGGAGTCGGGAGAAAGGACCGCGGCCCAAGGACGAGCCTCAGGACTTCCTGCCATAACCACAGTCTCCACACAGAATCCCCGCTTCTGCTTAACCGCATGCGGCCAAATTCCTCTCCTGCACATCTTATCTCACTCCAGCAAGTTATATACCAAGATCCTGGTTGTGGAGGGGTGGGGGGCCGTAAAGCCCATGTGGCTCCCCCGACAGCCTCCGGCTCAGGCACAGCTCAGGAGTAAGCTCCGACCCCCGGCCCTTCACTGGGGTGGCCTGCGCCATCGTGGGACAAGATGGCAGGACAGGAGCCTAAACCAGACCCGAGCACCTGAGAGGTGCACGCGCAGGCGGCTCCGCTCCGCATCCCCTAAGTGCCGAGCGCTTCGGCAAGTGGCCCGCCGCGCCGCGCCGCGCCTCGGTCCACGCGCTCGCCCGCCGAGGACCCGGGCGGGAAGGCAGCAGCCTCCCTGGACCCCGAGCCGGCTCGAGCCGCAGCGGCTCATCGCCCGACCTCGCTCCTCCGCACGGAGCCCAGGGCGGGAAGGAGGTGGCTCCGGGAACCGTGCAGGCGGTGGCTTCAACTTGAGGGTACCAAGCTCCCAGCACCTGCGCAGAGCCTGGCTTTTAGTCGCGCGCGGAAATCGGCGGCAAATTCTCCCGCGGACCCTTGGTGCTTGGAAGCAAGTGGCAGCCCCAAGTCCCTTCGCTCCTTCCCTCCATCCCGGGGCTCCTGCACCTTCGCACCCCAGCTTTACCTTCTTTCTTGAGCGCCACGGGCGGCTGCGTCTCCTCTTTCTTGTCAACCACGCCAACGTTGGGAGGCAGCGGGTTTTTGCGGTCTTTCTGGGACTCTTTACGCAGCTGTTTGCCTGCCGCGTTGGAGTTGGTCTGGGCCGCGGCCTGAGCTGCGCTCTTGGCCCCGGGGCCCCCAACGCCGCCCCCGCCGGCTTCTTTTTTCTTGTTCTCTGCTGCCTTCAGCACCTCGAAGGGGTCCGATTCGTCGTCAAATAACTGGTCGAATCGGTTGGTGACCACGCAGCCGAAGCCTTCCTGTAGGTGCCCAGGCATGATGGTGGCTCGGCGGCGCGTTCCTCCACGGATTGCAGCGGGCCGCGCCGAGCCAAGAGCGCCTGCTACAGCTCTTCCCACAAGATGGCCGGGCCGAGAGAGGGGGGCCGTCTTCTCTTCCGGCGCCAGGCACACATCCGGGAGCGGTCAGCGCCGCATGGCACCATGGGGAATGTAGGCCAGAGCTGCTTCTCCTTAGCTGGCTCCCCGCGCTGGGACTACAATCCCGAGAATGCCTCTCGCCTCAACTCTTCGCGCGCGCCCAGGAGGCGGGACCCCACGGAGGAGCGAAGCGTGCGAGCCGAAGGAGGGGAAGCGTGGTGGTGGGCGGAGTCCGGCCACCTGCTCTTGCCACCCTTCAACTCCGTCTCCGGCTGCCCTGAAAACAGTGAAACGTGACGGCGAATCTCGTTCGCGAAAGTGCTCTCTTTTGGTTTCGCCCACCCTTGCCTCCTGCCCGGGCTAACTTTCCCCCTCGTCTCTGGGAGGGTCAAGGTGACTCCCAGATCTTATAACCAGAGACTCAAAACTTCCGGGGGGGAGCTGTTGCGGAGCTGCCCGCCGGCCTCGGGTAGGCTGGACTGGTCTGTCCCCTGCTCCCTAGGTGCCCGGGTTGCTGGGGTCGCCCTCCTCTCCCTTCCCTTGGTGAATCGGGGCTCTTCCACTGAATATGAGGCAGAACACGTTTCCTCTCGCGGGGACATAAACTCGGTGGCAGAACTAACCCAAGACACGTTGGGCTGTCACATGAGCGTGTTACGCGCCTTTCTTGGGCGAGAAATGCCTGTGGCGCTTTTAAGAGGGATTGGCTCCTGATAGTGCAGCGCCAGACACTGGGCGAGCCTCCAACCAGCTCTGTTGTAGGAACAGTTTTTCGAATCGGTCCAATTAATTGACCAGTGGTATCCGGCAAGCCAAGGCTGGGGTGACTGTGGTGGCGGTCGAATGTGCCCGAGAATGACCGTTTCGGGGCATCCTGAGCATTTGTGTGAGAGGAGGAAAATTCGTCAGCCGATTAGTAATGAATGGCGAATATCAAGCTCCAAGGAGATACATTGTCAGTGTATTTCCAAGCGCATTTGGAAACACTGTTGATCATGACTTTTAAACTCTAGACAGAATAGAAAATGCATCTTTCGGTGGCAGGTGCTGTGAGTAACCTTAATATCAATAACATCTTGTTAGGTAAGTAGTTTCTGCCTGTCCACAGTTGATGAAATCATTGCAGAGGTGAAATGACTTACCAAGTTCACACCTATGGAAGTGCTAGTGCCAGGCGTTAACCCAGTCTCTTAACTCCACCGTGAGATGGTTGTCATCAGCTCTGATCCAGACTGACGCGATAGATGTCAATTAGTAAAGTGCTTCTATTTAAGAAGACTTACTCGTGGTTGAATATCGGTTTAGGGTACCTAACATGGCTGAATGTAGTCTTAATTTCTGAGCAGTGCTTAAGTGGATTCCTTCACAGGGAAAAGAGGAGAGAGTGGTATAGGCATGTTGCAGCAAGCCTCCTGGTTTTCTTCTAAATCTTTCCCTACTCTTCGAAGTGCCTTATTTCTCTGAAAGTTGCTTCAGTCTCAGTATCCATCTCCCCCACCCCCACCCCCATTTCAGCCTCCCTCCCACTGGCTCTGACTACTGTTGCTCCTACCAAGACAAAAGATAAGAAATGTCAGACCATACTTCCACCCAACCCCACCCTACCCTTGAGAATGGTTCAACTGCAATTTGGAAAAGCCTCATACTTAAACCAACTGTTTCTGTTCACCAAGAGCATGTACTAAAAGTGCCTCTTCTTACCTTTCTGGCCGCTGTCACAATATTTAGTAAGGAAAACTTGATATTATATTATGTGCTTGGTGATCTCTATATGTGTGGTCTCATTTAATGCTCGCCTGAGCTCTGAGAGTTATTCCTGTTTTAAAGTGAAGAGGAGCTGGCGCTATGGCGTAGCAGGTAAAGTTGCTACTTGCAGCCTGGACATCCTGTATGAGTGCCAGTTGGAGTCCTGGCTGCTCCACTTCCAATCCAGCTCCCTGCTAATGCTCCCGGGAAAGCAATGGAAATGGCCCAAGTCCTTAGGCCCCTGCACCCACGTGGGAGACTAACTCCAGCCATTGCAGCCATTTGTGGGAGTGAATCAGCAGATGGAAGATCTCTTCTCTGTCTCTCCCTCTCTCTGTAACTTTGCCTTTAAAAAAATAAATCTTTCTTTAAAATAAAATAAGTAAATATTGGAAGATATAGCACAAGAGGCTGAGTAAACTTAGCCAGTCCCATCACTGACTGAGGAGTGAGACAGGCTTATTTTCAGTGATTTTTCTCCTCCATTACAGATCTCTGGTTTCTCAGATATTCATGACCATCAAAAATTATTATAATAAGAGTATTTGGAGATAAGCTGTATATAGGGCATTGTCTGGCTATGAAATTATGAGGATCATTGAAGTTCTTCAGAGAAGTCACCTCTCAAGATAACTTAAGAACATGATGAAGAGACATTGGAGAGGGGCCGGCACTGTGGCATAGCATGTAGAGCCGCTGCCTGCAGTGGCGGCATCCCATATGGGCATCGATTCAAGTCCCGGCTGCTCCACTTCCAATCCAGCTCTCTGCTATGGCCTGGGAAAGCAGTAGAAGATGGTCCAAGTCCTTGGGCCCCTGCACCCATGTGGGAGACCTGAATGAAGCTCCTGGCTCCTGTCTTCAGATCAGCGGGGCTCCGGCTGTTGCAGCCAATTGAGGAGTGAACCAGTGGATGAAAGACTCTCTCTCTCTTTCTCAAACTCTCTGTCTGCCTCTCTTGCTCTCTGTGTGTAGCTCTTTCAAATAAATAAATATTGAAAGAAAGAAACATTGGAGAAAATGTTCGAGAAAAATGGGAGAATTTTGTGAACATTTTGTTTCCTTCTCTTTTTTCTTTTCTAGAATTTTGATTAATCCAGAAAAGTTTTAAGGTTTATTTTTAAAGGAGACAAGTAAAATTCAAGATTGCAAGTCTAATATATCTCACCATCAATTATTATTTTATAACTAATTATTTTTACTAATCTTTCCTTTATCTTTTTTTAAAATATTTATTTTATTTATTTGAAAGAGAGTTACAGAGAGAGGTAGAGACAGAGAAACAGGTCTTCTATCCGCAGGTTCACTCCCCAGATGGCCGCAATGGCCGGAGCTGCGCGAGTCCGAAGCCAGGAGCCAGGAGCTTCTTTCAGGTCTCCCATGCTCTTTCCTTTATCCTAAGAAATTAGTCCCCTATACTCTGGTTTCTATTCAGATCGTATAAATCTTTCACCTTTTACTAAGAAATTAGTTCTTAAAAAGTAAGTTCCTGCCACTCTCAAAAGGAAAATATTAGCCAAATTAACCTCATGGAGGAGAACAGGTGATATTCTGGCATACTGTTATTCAAATCAAAGACATGATCTGGGGCAAGTGCTTGGCACCATGAATAAGATGCCACTTGAGATGCCGGCGTCCTTTATTGAAGTGCCTGGCTTCAGACCCCAGCCGTGCTTCTGAGTCCAGCTACCTGCTATGCACCATGGGAAGCAGTAGATAAGGAGCACTAGGGAGACCCAGACTGAATTCCTGGCTCCTGGCTTTGTCCTGCCCCAACCCCAGCTGTGACAGGCACTTGGGGAGTTAACCGGTGCATGGGAGACATTTCTCTGTCTCTCTGCCTGGCAAATAATAAGTAAATAAAATGTTTAAATGACATGATTTATAAAAGCAAGTATCATGAGATACCACTGATTAGAAATGTGGCCTTAATATCAAATCACTGTCACAATATTTGAATCTTATTCTCTGAAAAATACTAATTCAACTAAACAGTCTTATCTACAGCAAGCCTCTCTAAAGCTTTCTAGCAATAAATGCTGAAACTATCCAAATACCTTGATTAAATATCCAATATACTTGTCTAATTTGACAAAACTGAGACAGAAAATGTTATATATTTTCGCAGCTCTCACTTATTTTTAAAGACACTAATATTTATATATTTATAAGGATATAATAATTCTCAACCACATTGCAACCTTATTCTCATCCACTTCTTAATAATCTCCACCGTCAGTTACTAACTGCTGCTATAACTAACAATTGCTAGAATTTGAGCACTAGAAGCTATTCTACATATTTCACATGCATTATTTCTCTTATTTCTCAGAACATTGTTGTGAACTAGATAAAATTACTACCTCTACCTGACTTGTGCCACTCCCAAATTCAAATTGACTGAAAGAGGGAAGGCAGTCTGATCTTTTAGCCTGAATATCCAACTATGTATTTGTGAGGAACATGGTAAGAGGAAAGAGACACAGGTACTAACACAAAGCTATTATTTTGTTTGAACACTTTGGGGATACTGAATATAGTCATCACATAAATGTAAATAAGAGACTAATTTTTAATGTACTCAGCATACAAGAGTCCTTCAAAAAGTTCATGGAAATGGAATTAATGATGTTTATTTTGGTGCAAAATATTTTGAAATTCATGCATAATTTTTTCATAATGCACATTTTATGAACTTTTTTTTGAAGATTTATTTTTACTTGAAAGAGTTACAGAGAGAGGTAGAGACAGAGAGAAAGAGAGGTCTTCCATCCACTGGTTGAATCCCTAAATGGCCACAATGGCCAGAGCTGTGCCGATGGGAAGCCAGGAGCCAGGAGCTTCTTCCGGGTCTCCCACGTGGGTGCAGGGGCCCAAGGACTTGGGCCATCCTCCGCTGCTTTCCCAGGCACATTAGCAGGGAGCTGGAGTCAAAGTGGTGCAACCAGAATTCAAACCGGTGCCCATATGAGATGCCAGCACTGCAGGCCGGGGCTTTAACCCACTGTGCCACAGCACCAGCACCTTTATGAACTTTTTGAAGACTCCCTCATATGCATGAATTTCAAAATTTTTTGCATCAAATTAAGCTTACCTTTTTAATTTCATTTTCCATGAACTTTTTTGAAGTACTTTTATATAGTATATTTTTAAAACAAGACCAACACAGGTAGTTCTTCGGAAGAAAAGGACAAACCCTCTGTTTCTGTGGATGGAATGCTAAGTATGATATTGCAAGTCTGGGCTCTTGCAATATTATAGTTAGAATATCAGAACTAAAAATAGAAATATTTCATTCCCTGTGTTGCTACCTCAAACTGACTT